CTTTGCCCCGTCTCGTGTCCTTGCTAGTTGCCCCTGAGGGAGACCCGGATGCACCAGACATCCCGACCCCGCGCACTTACGCTGAGGCGATGGCGGGTCCCTACTCCTCTCAGTGGCAGACAGCCATGGACGCCGAGATGGCTTCCTGGAAGTCCACACGCACCTACGTCGACGAGGTTCCCCCTCCTGGGGCGAACATCGTCAGTGGCATGTGGATTTTCAGGGTGAAGCGGCCGCCGGGTTCTCCGCCTGTCTTCAAGGCGCGTTACGTGGCTCGAGGCTTCAGTCAGCGAGAGGGAGTTGACTTCTTCCAGACCTTCTCCCCCACCCCGAAGATGACTACTCTTCGGGTGCTGCTGCACATAGCCGCTCACCGCGACTACGAGCTTCACTCACTTGACTTCAGCACTGCTTTCTTGCAGGGCAGCCTGCACGAGGAGATCTGGCTGCGCCGCCCACCTGGCTTCACTGGGTCGTTTCCTCCTGGTACCCAGTGGAGGCTTCAGCGGCCGGTCTACGGTCTCCGCCAGGCTCCGCGTGAGTGGCACGACACACTGAGGACTACACTTGCGGCTCTTGGGTTCGCGCCTTCTACAGCTGACCCGTCGCTGTTCCTGCGCACCGACACTTCGTTGCCGCCGTTCTACATCCTCGTGTACGTCGACGACTTGGTCTTTGCCACTGCTGACACTGCAGGACTCGCCTACGTGAAGTCGGAGCTGCAGAGGAGACACACGTGCACAGACCTGGGTGAGCTGACAAGCTATCTTGGCTTGCGGATCACCCGGGACAGAGCACGGCGCACCATCACCCTGACTCAGTCACACATGGTGCAGCAGGTTCTCCAGCGCTTCCGCTTCACGTACTCCTCGCCTCAGTCCACTCCTCTGCCTACCGGTCACTCGCTCTCAGCTCTGCCTTCGGATGAGTCCGTAGAGCCGAGTGGCCCGTATCCAGAGCTTGTGGGCTGCCTCATGTACCTGATGACCTGCACTCGACCTGACCTTGCATACCCTCTTAGCATCCTTGCACGCTATGTCGCTCCTGGCCGTCACAGGAAGGAGCACATGGATGCCGCTAAGAGGGTATTGCGCTACTTGTGCAGTACATTGGGCATGGGGCTTGTGCTTGGAGGGCGAGACCGAGTTGTTCTCACAGGGCACTCAGACGCTTCTTGGGCAGACGACCAGGCCACTCAGCGGTCGTCTCAGGGTTACACCTTCAGCCTTGGCTCTGGCTCAGTTTCTTGGCGCTCTACACGCTCTTCTTCTGTTCTCGGCTCCAGTTGCGAGGCTGAGATCTACGCTACAGCCATGGCTGCCCAGGAGCTACGCTGGCTGACCTACCTGCTGACCGACCTCGGAGAGCGGCCTCGTTCTCCTCCAGTACTGTACGTCGACAACAAGGCTGCCATTGCCTTGTGTGAGGAGCACAGACTGGAGCACAGAACGAAGCACATCGCCCTGCGGTACTTCCTTGCTCGTGAGCTGCAGCAGCGCGGTCAGCTTTGTATTCGCTACGTGGCCACTGAGGCCAACACTGCTGATGTGTTCACCAAGGCGCTTCAGCCTCGTGACCATCAGCGCTTCTGCACTCTACTAGGCCTTGTGCCTACTGGACCTCACTTACTTACCTCTTGACTTTGCTTGTACTGTGATCACTATATATATCTATACCTGCATGTTTACTCTTGCTAGGTTGTGATCACTGTATCTCTTGCTCTGTTATAAACCTGCATGTGAACTGGTCTTGTGACCACTAGCTTGTGCTCGGAATTTGTGTGGAATCCTTGAGATCCACCCTGAGCTTGTTGTTGCCTTGCTTTGCCTTGACTGGTCTTGTGACCCCTAGGTCTCCCCCACTTTGCCTATGGGGGTGTGTCAAACATTATACATGTTGTATTTGTGTAGGCTGTAGTGGGTTAGCCTATAGGGGGGTCACAACATTAGGGTTTCATTTTTTGTACTCACAATCCTTGTTAGTTCATCATTCCAGTCCGTTATTACTGACAGGCGGATGGGGCACGGAAGGGGGAGGATGGGGAACGGACAACGGCGGAACATGGGCTACTGCCGGCGGAGATGGGGGAACGACAACTGGATTATGGGGCAACGTCACCGGTTGGGGTACAACAAAAGTCAACAGATGGGCTCACTAGCAGGTCGAGAAGCACAAAGGGGGGAGGGGGAAGGGGAGGGGGGGGGAGAAGTAAATATACCTATTGTTCCTCTTGGCTGACCCCTGCGGCAATTCACAGCACCGCCCACGGCTTCACGTCAAAGTCCACTATGCTACACTTTGTCCTACATCGACAGGGGTTCTGAACCCTCACCACCGCACCTCGACGCCTACCGATCTTGCCCGAAGCCCGCTGATCTTCTGAAGGGAATCACTGGAGGCACTAACATCGACCTACAGCAGAAGCAGAGCCTGAGGCTGAGGAAACTCCTGATGAAGCCCGCGCATGCTAGCACCGCAGACCTATAATTCGTGATGGCAAAGGTTTAACAAACGATTGTTGGCACTAGTGTCCCCGACATTCATGACGGCAAAGGTTTAACAACCGCATGACACCCGAAGTATTCGCTCCTGGAGCCATTTTGCGACCCGACGGAACTGAGATGCGAAGCACATCACAGCCACAAATCTGCACTCTCTACCCTGCAGCCGCACTCACGCAACAGCCTTTCCTTCTGCCCGAGCCGAGCACCAATCGGTACGAAAAGTTGCACAAAGTGTGGAGCAATCTTTTTGTCACCGACCTTAGTGGACACAACGACGAATCTTACATGCTAACATTTGTAAACGCAACCACACCTACGCCTGGGTAGTGAACGTACAGAACCGGAGCACGGCTTACGATGAATTTGGACTTTGATTGACGCACTTGCAGTGGAAAGTAGGGAAGAAATTCTTGGTCTGGCAGACAGACGATGCAGTCGAATTTTGCGGAAAGGGATTTTAAAATTTCTTCGGCGAAAAGAGTATCCTCTATCATACTTCTCTCCCGTACGCGCACCCTTAGCAAGGTGTCACTGAACGGACAACCGCACCCTCATGACGAAGGTGCCCGTGCTATTGAAGTGACCATGACCCCCCTCCCACATGTCTTGGCTGTACGCAATGCATCGGCAATACGCCTGCACAACCTCCTCTACACGTCTTTACATTTCATAAACCCATCGGTTGGTGCATTTTGTACTGTAACACTGCATTTTACAAAAAGGTTGGACACGGTCAGCTTCTGTTCACAAGATGGCATGCCCGCTGCACGTACGTCGAATTATCTAACACACGTTACGGTACAAGGGTACAACATTGCGTCCTGCCCACTACAGTAATTTCGTTCAAGCGTGGATTTTTTTTCGTGTGCGAGAATTTCTGTGCGATGATAGACGAGGCACCAGTCACCTCGTTTTCCATGCACTGTAGAAATTTGCGTGTAGAGGGTTGTGTCTGCGCGCTGGAAGGCCAAGTCATTTGGACACGACTCGCCTTTTATACGTTTTTTTGGTACAGTGAGATTTTCTGAGCTGGGAAACGTGTGAAGGTACTAAAATTCCCAATATGTACGTGTTGGACACACCCTCAGGGGAAACCTTTTGCCGCACCTGAAATAGACTGGGAAGAAGGGCGATATCTTGATATTATGCATAGTATGGTCCTACACAGATCCACGTCAGCCACTATCGGAAAGTTTACGGATCGCGCTTGCAAGAGAGTTTACATAAGGACCAGCTACGATTAAAAGGTGTGGCTCGCTATAGTATTATATTCCATTCATTGTATCGACATGCCACATTGGCACAACTTGGTTATTTGTTATTATGCGCAACTCTTTTGAACAACTGATAACATCAGGTGCCCACTTAGTGTACAGAATATGTTTTAAACCCTTGGGCTCTCCCTCTTCCCCAATCAAGTGCCAAACTCGTGTGCTGGCAAATCACAACGTTCCCATAGGCTGCTGTTGACTCGTGAAATCTTTCGTTCGCACTGCTTGCGATAAATCAATCCAACACCACTGGACAGCTTGATCGTCCACGTCAGGGTGGAGGACAGCAACCCGCGATGTTGGGGATTGTCGAAAGTGCCCCCACCCCACACAGAAATATCAATTTATCTGTTTTCTTGGTTGCTCCCCGTCTCTGTTGTGATTCGGTGTAGGTTGGAAAAGTGATCTTCCACGTGTGACCTCTCGTCCTAATTTGCCTGCTGCGGATCCTCTGTCATTCTATCGAGGTCATCAAGTTGCCTCGAGATTGGCTTTTCCCGACATTCGCGCGCCCCGATTTCTCCTTTCCCTTCTGCTGCATTCGGGCCTCTGCCGCCGCAATGTCACGAGCGCGAACGCACCTGAATTCGGAAAATTCCGTGTCATTTTTGTAAGGTAGAGTGCGTTTCTACATTCTTTAAAGCGGTATTGTGCGTTCTTGCTCCGTTCTCCACCTCCTTGAGGTGTACCAAGTCCAGTGCAAGTGTGTTTCCTAGCTGCACCAGAAGTGTGAAGGTTGTGCAGCTGCTAGTTTGTCACTCCAGCAGTTGCTCTCGGCCACTGTTGTCTGTCCTGCAATCCAGTTGCTAGATGGTGACTCTCTTGTAGTTATCAATTTTGGCTTCAGAAGTGTGTGTCCTGCACTGTGGCTCACCTCATCGTATACAGCGTTGGCCCGTCAAACAACCGGATCCCATAATTTATCACAATTCCTCTAACTCCTAGACAATTTAATCATATTATGGCGCCAGTAATGCAACCTAGCGTGTACACCCAAGCGTCGGGCTTGGTCCAGCAACCAATCAGAGCACGGTCCGTTTCAGGAATTCGCGTTTCTCTTCCACCTCGTTCCACGAATATCGTATGCACTCTCTCCATTCCTTCGAACTCCACGACGGATCTTCGCACGTCCGCTAGCGCAACTTCTGCAAGCCACGTCAGCTCCACCTCAGTTTCCACATCAGCAGCTGCTGCACCCTCCGGGAGCACCAGCGTGGCGCCGCCGATGATGTCGTCAGCGTCAACAGTATCGCCAGCAACGGCCGCGCGCTGCCCCTTCACTGGCCGACTAGCGGCCGTCGCAACCATGGTAACGGGTACTATCATGCTCGTGACAAACCGCTATAGTGATACAGCTGGAAAACGATGCGTTGGCACTTCCACATCACTGCCGCGTTCATTCTCACACTCCGCTTCCCATTTTCATTCCTCCACGCGCTCCGCATCCATATCGAGCCGCTGTCACGTGTGGTCGCCGCAGCGGTTTCCCTGCACGCATCCCCGACCCTCAGCCGACGCCATTCCCCTTCCCGTGCACCGTATCCAGGCGGAGTCGCTCTCACGCGAAGATACCGAAGCGGTTTCCCTTGTACGCATCCCGGATCCTCACCCGTGAGCGGCTCCCCATGATCGACTCAAACGCCATTCCCCTTCCCCCGCACATTCCGCATCCAGGGCGAGTAGCTCTCACGCGAAGACGCCGCAGCGGACGCCCCGGTTCCCACTTCGGGCCCTCATCCATGAACCATGCATGATTCGACTCAAAGCCATTCCCTTTCCTCGCACGTTCCGCATCCAGGGCGAGTCGCTTTCACGCGAAGATACCGAAGCGGATCTCCCGGTACCCATCCCGGGTCCCCACCCGTGGGACATTGTGGGCAACGTGCGCGATCTGAGCGCTATCGCGCTGCGCGGGATCGAGGAGGCGACGCTGCTGTACGGGCGCAAGTACGGCCCGATCTGCCGGTTCGCCAACGGCGTGAGCGCGTGGACGTTTGTGAACGACGCGGACATCATCGCGCACATCTGCAGCACCAACTCCAAAAACTACTCGCGCAGATTCCTGCCTGTGAGTTCGCGCTCGCCTTCCATTCTAGGCTCGCAGAGCGTTTCTTGAATCTCCTTTCTGCCGATTTTTCCTTCTCCCTCCTTCCCACTCCGTGACGCACGGCCGAGCGTCTCTTGACTAGGGACGCTCCTCTCCACCGCCTTCCTCAGTCTCTCTCTCAACTGCCTCCCCTCACCAGGCGGTGTACGAGTACGTGACGCACGGCAAGGGCATGTAAAGGTCACAGCGTGTTTCTCGAATCAATGCACTCCTTTCTGCCGCCTGCCCGTCCTCCCTTCCCCCCTCCCCCCCTCCCTTTCACACGGCGTGCGCCTCCCCTCTCCCCAGGCGGTGTACGAGTACGTGACGCACGGCAAGGGCATTCTGGGGTCGCAGGGGGAGTACAACCGCGCGCACCGGCGCATGTGCCAGCCGCCCTTCATGCGCCCCAACCTGCTCGACGCCTTCTCCGATACCATCCAGTCGCAGGTGGGTTCCGTGGCGGTCAGAGAACGTCACTGACCTTAACTCGCTAAGCCGCCATTTTTGCCTCGCTCCCTTCATCCCCGTCCCACTCTGCCGCCCCGTGTCTCTCTTCCAATCCCCGTCTATCCCAAAGCCCGTCGCCCCTTCCCATGGCCAGCTAGAAAAGCTAATTACATTGTGGCGCCATCAAGCCGCCACATATGCTGGCTCCCCCCCCCTTCTCTCTCCCCTCTTTCCAATCCCACATCACCCACTTCCCGCAAGCACCACCCTTCCTCACGAGCAGTTGGGAAGGCTCATCACCGTGTGGCATCGCTTCACACCGCTGCCGCCGCCTCAGTAGCTCATCATATCCGTGTCCTACCCCACGCCCCGTTGCCCCCGCCCATGAACAGCTAGACAAGCTCATCACCATGTGGCGCCATCAAGCCACCACAGACGATGGCTCGCCCCTTCCCAACGTCGTCCTGGACGGCAATCTAGCGGTCCAGATCCAACGCTTCACTCTAGATATCATCGGAGCCGTCGCTTTCTCCAAGGACTTCGGGCAGCTGGACCGCATCCGAGCCGACCCGGCAGGCTCGGCGACCGAGGCGGACGCCGGAGCTGACGAGCTGCTAGGCGCGGTGAACGAGTCGCAGCAGCTGATGGCAAACGTGTTCATCACGCCACTGCCGGTGCTGCAGCTGCTGCGGAAGCTTGGGGAACCGGGGATGCTGCGGTTGGATGCGGCAATGAAGGCTATGGAGAAGGTTATGATGGGTGTGATTGAGGAGCGGAGAGAGCAGTGGCGCGCGACGGGGGACGCGGGGGATGATCTGCTGGGAGTGCTGCTAGGCGCCACGGTATGGCCGCATGCGAGGGAGGCGGCGGGGTGGGGGAAGTGGGGAGGTAGTGCGGGAGTTGGCGTGTGGGCGTGTGGGAGAGAATAAGACGATTTTTGAGACGGATCTGCTGCTAGGCGCCACTGTATGGCCGTACACAAGGAGAGGTGGAGTGTGGGGGTGTTGAGGGTGTGTGGATGAGGGGGGGGGGGGTGAAGAGGGTAAGCGCGTATGACGAGCGTGGCGGATGGTGGGTGGGCGGGCGAGGAGTTATGTCGTAACGTGCAAGTGTGCCATTATAGGGGCGGCATTTGCACGTTTGCGTAAGTGCCATTCCCTTGCCCCACCCCCTGTCGCACTCATGCCCCACCCTCCAGTTGTCGGAGTGGAGCACCAAACATGGTGCCTCAAACCTGGTACGGAGGCCATGGACCCACGTCACCCCTCCCTCTGTGCCTCTGCCCCCCTGACTCCCTGCTTTTCCTTTGCCTCTCCCTGCCTCCTCCCCGCCTGTCATGTGTCTCCAGGACGAGCGGGGGCGGCCGCTGCAGGACGAGGAGTTGTGGGAGGACGTGCATGACGTGATGGGCGCGGGGCACGAGACCACGGCCACCACCATCACGGCGGCGCTCTTCCTCATCTCGCAGCACCCTGAAGCCAAGGCCAAGGTGGGTGCCTCATGCTGGTGGCTTGTGGCCGAGGTGGGTGAAAATCTATGTGTGATGGTTGTTATGGAGGGCGGGAAAATGGTGGACGCTACCTGCCATTGTTTTAGAGGTGTATCGCAGCGCTCTTGCCTCTCAACAATGGTAAACGGTTGCACTCGAAAGCAGACCTGTCAGAGGTCCACTGGAGATCCCCGATTGATCCTAGGGAAGGGTTACAAGCACGTCGGCCTGGGGGGTTATGGGCGCACTCACCCGCTACACAAACAAGCCCTTTTATCCCAGTGGTTAGTGGCTGAGATTCTAACAAGACCCTCAGCATGAGCACCCTGATTTTTTTATTTTTTTTTTGTCCACCCCTTCTCTTCCCTTCTCTCCACTCCTCCCTTCTTTCCAACCCTCCACTTCCATTTTTCTCCTTTCCGTGCTCCCCTTGTCAGATGCACGAGGAGCTGAGAGCCCTCAATGGCCGCATGCCCTCATTTAACGACGCCAATGGTGGCCGCCTGGCATACACACAGATGGCCGTCAAGGAGACCCTCCACATGTACCCTTCGCATGTACCTGCCCACTCCCTTCATTCTCTCCACCCCTCCTCGTCCCTCCTTTCGACCCCCCTTCGTCCCTCCTCTCCCCCATTCCTTGTCCCTCCTCTCCGGCCCTTCCCCCCCCGCATCTCAGGTGCACGAGGAGTTAAGGGCACTGAACGGTCGCATGCCCTCGTTCCAAGACGTCAACAGCGGCCGCCTGGCATACACACAGATGGCCGTCAAGGAGACCCTCCGCATGTACCCGCCCATCCCCCTCTTCCCACGGGAGGTCGCCCACACCGACCGCTTGCCTGGGGGCTATGAGCTTCCTGGAGGAGATGTGAGTGCTCTTTCTTTCTTCTAGCCCATGTGCCTTCTGCACCCCCCTTGCATGTGCCATCCCGCTCTTTCCACGGGAGGTGGCACATTCTTATCGATGCCTGGGGAATACAGCTTCCCTGGCGGCGATGTGAGTGCCCTATACCCCATTGCCCAAGCATCTAACGCGCTTTAAGGGAAATGGCCCACACTGACCGCGTGCCTGATGGTTGCCCCTTTCGCCATGTGCGAAACTGCTTTTGAGTGCCCTATAGTAGGCACAGCCTTGTTTACGAGTGCGCACTACTTTTGAGGCGCCCAAGAAACTGCTGCCCGCGCTTCTCCATCCCCATTTCACTCGACCGTCTCCCTCCCCACTCCCCCCCTTCCCTGGCATCACCCAGGTCGTCTTCATGTCCACCTATGCCATGGGGCACAACCCTGTCTACTGGAGCTGAACTGCACATCTGTTGTCCACCCATCTCCCTTCCCCTTCTCCCTCCCCATCCCCCATCCTCCCCTGGCATCACCCAGGTCGTATTCATGTCCACCTATGCCATGGGGCGCAACCCTCTCTGCTGGCCGTGTGGTGGACTGCTTTTGAGCTACGTACTAACCTACTGCCCGCCCATCTGTCTCCCCGCCTCCCTCCCCATCTCCTTTTTCTCTCCTTCCCTGCCCACACCCAGGTCGTATTCATGTCCACCTATGCCATGGGGCGCAACCCTGTCTACTGGCCCGAGCCCCTTTCTTTCAGACCGGTAATGTTCCCTCACATCCGCTCGCATGCTGTCTGCTGCTGCAAGAGCCCTTGACCCATGAGTCCGGATGCAGCCCACCTCCCCTAATACTGAAGTTTCTTCTGTATTTCTTCTCGCTCCTGTGGCACTGTGCTTCAACATCTTCTCACTCCCATGCTCTCTCCCCCACACACAGGAGCGCTTCACCCCTGAGGCAGAGGCAGCGCGCCCGCGCTTTGCATGGGTGCCCTTCGGGGCGGGCCCGCGCATGTGCCTGGGCGCCAACTTTGCTGTGCTGGCTGTCACTCAAGTCGTCGCCACTCTGCTGCAGGTGCGTCAGTGGTGTTTGTAGGGGGGTGGTGGGGTTGGGGGGGTGTGGGATGGGTGGGGGTGGAGTGTGCGCTTTGGCTTGTGTGTTGTGGCTGGGGGTGTGGAAGGCGCCTGTGCATGTTTGGTGCGGGCCCGCGCATGTGCCTGGGCGCCAACTTTCCTGTGCTCGCCGCCACTCAAATCGTTGCCACTCTGCTGCAGGTGCGTGGGAGGGGCAGGGCGAAAGAGGGGTAATGTGGACAGGGGTTGGTGAGTGTGTGAAGGGTATCTGTTCATGCTCGCATCCATATGTATCCCTCTCTGTGTTGAAAGGGATGTAAGCTTGTGTCTCATTTCCCCCCCCCCCCCCCCCCCCCCCCCCCCTCTTCTCTTCTGCTCCTCTCTTCCTCCCCCTGCTCCCCTCCTTTCCCCTATTCCCCTCTCCTCCCCTTTCCTCCAATCCCTTCGTTCCCTCTTCCCCTCGCTTCGTTCCCTCCTCCCCTCAGCATTTTGACTTCGAGGGCATCAGCCCCAGCGGCAAGGAACTGCCATTCGCTTATGATATTACGATGAATTTCCCAGGTACCACAAACATGTTTTAAAATTTCATCATTTATCCATTGGCCGTCCATGTATTATCGGCCTCCTGACACAAAACACTCAATTCTTGTCCTTGACTCAGGGGGGGTAAACATGCGTGTTCGGCCGCGAGAAACAGAACTCGAAGCAGAAGGGTGTGCTGGAGTTATGATTGACCATAGGCCCAACTAACGTGCAGCCTGACGCTGCAGTAAGCTTGGTGAATCATAGGGTTTTCTTGTTACCAAAACCTTGGTTTGTGTGTTGTAAGTTATGTGTGTATAGTTTTTTTTATCCCGTGTGCATGTCTCTTGCACCAGAAAAAAAAAAGAAGTCTCAAAGAGTAAGAAACATGGCAGGATGGACTGATCATTGTGAATATTAAAAAGCTGGTCAATACTGCGTAGTGGGTTTTCTCTAGATCATCCATCATAAGAATTATAGACTTCTCCTAAGGTCGTCGTCCAGGATTGCCGTAAGGAGGCAGCCAATAACAAGGTTCGGCACTCCCAAAGTCGCCATTGCACGCCCTGGCGGCATTGGGAACTCCATCGTGACATGTGGACACATGGACAGCAGATTAGCTTTATAAAGGACAGGATCCGAATAACGTCTAGCAGCCCTTTTTGCGTCGTGGCTGCCAGCCGTTGGATGGTAATAGCCGTTGTTTGTCGTCACCAATAGGCGTTACTACCTCGTCGTCAATAACCGTGGGTGCGTCGTCTTTAATATGCGTTGGTACGGTGTTGCTAAACGCCGCTGGTGCTAGAATGTTGTTTCGCGAACTCGTGTTCGCGCTGACCTCAGCAAACCTCTCCCGGAGTCTCGCGACATCTCTGAAGACCACAGGGGGTTCTGCAGCTTGCGAAATCAGTCGACAGGCACAGAAGCACATTGCGGGTCGCGTTTCGACATAGTCGCTAGAATGTACTCGCGCAACGCTGGGAGCGCAGAGTCAGTGCCGAATGCGGAGGTGGAACCCGGAGGTGAAAGCGGTGTTAGCAGCAGCGGCAACCACACAAGAGAACGATGCTCGGAGTCAGCCTCGGGCGAAATCCCGGCGGCAATCGCGGTCGGGGGAGGCCCATGGGGCGCAGTAGGCGACACTGGCGGAATGGGCTCGGGGGGAGGCGCAGGGGGAAGGGGAACTAGTCCAGCAGTGACAGCGGGACTAGGCGGAACGCAGGCGATGCCTCCGCATCTGGATTTGCGCGGGGCTGCGATTCAGACGTTTCCGCGGGACGCTGCAGGCGCGCAGACGACCATCGTGCTTCCTAATCAACGGTCGGATGTGCTTCACTTCGCGCTTGACATCGGAGGTGCGTTCCAAGTTCCAATCCTTGTTTCTGAGCCACGTAGAAACAGCACTCTGAAATGTGGGATGCGTTCCGTTTGCGCTTAACATGTGTAGGTACCACTTACCTTCCCTCCGCCATTTTCTAGCTTTCCTCATCTATAAAGGCATTTACCTTGTTTGACAATATCCATCCATTTATAGGAATCAAGTCTTACCCCGTTTCGAGAGTCAATATTCAGGCAAACACAGAAACGACATCCAGCCTTTCCCAAGAACCGATTCCCAGAATTTTCCTGGAATATCCCAGCATCAATGCCCATTCATTTCAGGGATGACTGTCCTGGCACTTTCCAAGAGTATGTTTTCAAAAATGAATTTCTAGGCATCCATGTTGATACATTGATCCATTCTCGGGAACCATTGTCCAGAGAACTTCAGGAATCACTTTCAGGCATTTTCAGGAAGTAAACTTCACTTAATTTCAGGCGTTTTCAGGAATTAAACTTCACTTAATTTCAGGCGTTTTCATGAACCAATCTCCAAGCAACTTTGTGAAGCAACCTCCAGGCATTTCCCCGTCAATGTCCGCGTTTTTCTATGAAGCAGTCTTTTGCGGTTTTCAGGAGTCATTGTCCGAACCTGTTTAGAAATCTCTATCCAGCCTGCCAAGAATTATATTTTTTCAGGTGCTAGGATCAGATATGCAGGCACGACAATAAGCCAACCTGAACTTCTCCTCTAAGCCAACCTGAACTTCTCCTCTAAGCCAACCTGAACTTCTCCTCTCTAATGGATGTTTCTTATGTCCAGTTTTAATCATAATTTCGCCTCATCGTTCTCTCCTGTACCCCTCTTTGATACTGCCTTCAGGCTCGCTCATCAAGCTCGTGTATTTCTCCCGCATCCCTCCGCACTTGGAACACGGGGCCTCCTTCTCCTCTATGATATCCCCTAGTGCCACCGCTGCTGCTCCTGCCACCAGCACTGCTGCTGGCAATGAAAGCGCAGACTTCACCACCCAGACCAATTGCGGTCCTACTGCCGCTGCTGCCGCCGCTTCACCCCCTGCATTTGCTCCCGCTACTGCGGCATCAGCTGCTGCTGCTGCTGCTGCTGTCACTGGCAATCTCGCAGCGAGTGCCAGTGCTGCTGCCGCTGCTGTTAGGACAGTTGACAGGCGAGCTTCCTTTTCTGGAGGAGGGGGTTCCTTCCGGTCGGGCGGCGGCGGTCGTCTGCACTTTGTCAAATTTGAGACGTCGAGAATCGGAGAGTGCATTGAGTTCATCAAATCTAAGAGGCTTCACAGCTTTGATATTCTGGGTGAGGTGAAGATACAGTGGGTAGGAGACAAAGAGGGTGGGGAATTGAGGTGCGAACACAGAGGGTGTGGTGTGGGGGATAGAGAGTGTGCGGTGCGGGGAACAGAGGGTGGGTGAGTAGAATGAAAGGGGAAGGAAGGTTCGGGCAGGGAGACGAGGGGCTTAAAGCATTGGTTGGTGGTTGTTCCTGCCGTTTCAAGCAATATTGTGCGACAATTCCCATAGGAACTGATGCGGTTTTTAACGTGCTGGCTGAAGGGACGTGTAAACTTTCATGTTTCATCCTCATCCTCCTCTGCTCTCATTTTGTTCACACATATCCTCATTCCACAGTGTGCTCCGGCTTTTGTAATCATCCATTAACACGCCAGCTTGGTCAACTTTATATTTCTGTTTGTTGTAGGTGCCTCAAGCGATGTACCCAGGTACACATATGCACCCCAATCAGATTACCTCCTCGTTTTCCTTTCCCGTGTCTCATTCTGGCCTCCTCCAATCACTGTCTTGCCACCCTGCTCATGGCTTATTGATTGTAAGGAATGGGTGGAGACGAAGAGAGCCTATGGGGCTACGGAGCTAGCTCGCCTCGCATCAAGGTGTGTTTGGGCATGATATGTTGGATTCACTTTTGAAGATTCCATCAAGATCACTTCTAAAATGATTTCATTTGAGCTATCTCGCCTCGCATCAAGGTGTGTTCAGACATGCTTGCACTTGCAATGGCATAGTGACACCCTTTGAGGTGCATCCAGGATTGTTGTTTTGAGCGCGTCGCCTGAAAGAATGTTAAGATTCAAGACCATGGCCGTGGTGTTGGACAAGGAGGATGACTCGTCTATAAACCCCTCCTGCCTTGAGAAGTCTCTAAACCCCTCCTGCCGTGCACCATCACCATCTTCCTCGCGTGTGTGGGCAGGCCACAGGGGGCGGGGCATTCAAGTACGCGGATCTATTCAAGGAGAAGCTGGGCGTGGTGTTGGACAAGGAGGATGAGATGCGCTGCCTCGTGCTCGGCCTCAACTTCCTCCTGCGCGTATGTTTGCACCCCCTCTCACCCCCCCACCCCTCCCCTCCCTCCCTAACCCCTCCACGCTGCACACCTTCACCCTCCATTCCATTCCCCTGACCCCTTAAATGGTGCGTGTATGCCCGCCCAGAGCTAATTCCTAGATACTGGTTGTATGTTATGTTAGTTCACGTGTGCATGGACTAAACTGTAGACACACGAACGCTCGTAAGAAAGTGTGTTACCGCCTGTTAAGCAAAGCACACGTTTCCCGCCTGTTACTGCCTGCGCATTGCCCGCCCATTGTCCCTTCCTCCCTTTCCCCACCCAGTCCATCCGAGACGAGTCGTTCACACACCTGGAGGGCGAGAAGCAGTTTGTGGAGATGCATTTGCAATGGCTCAGGCCCTTCCATTCACCCTTCCAACTTCCCCTCCTTCTTATCCCCATGCCCATCCCCCCCCTCACCCAGTCCATCCGAGACGAGGCATTCACGCACCTGGAGGGCGAGAAGCAGTTTGTGGAGATGCACAGCGAAAACATCTTCCCTTACCTCCTCGTCAACATTGGCTCGGGTGTCAGCATTCTCAAGGTGTGTAAGCAACTGTTCCCGTGTTACCATGTTACACTGGGCTCTGTTTTCACGATGCCCTGTGAAACCATTCTCCCGTACCTCCTCCTCATCATCATCTGCTCCAGTGTCAGGTTTCTCAAGGTTCCTCATTCTGATTCCCAGACTCTTCATTGCAAGGTGTGCATCTGGTTGTTCCAGTTTTATCAACGTACGCTGCTTTCATCCTGAGGCGCTTCAAATTAAAGCAACATGTGACTGTCATTGCCTGTTCCCGCCTGTTCCTGTCTGCTCACCTGCACCCCTCTACCCTTTCACCTCTCTCTTCCCACTATGGCAGGTGGACGGTCCACAGCAGTACAAGCGAGTGAGTAACACCAACCTGGGGGGCAGCCCAAGCTATGCGATGTGCTGCTTGTCTCTCACCCTTTTGTTCACTCTCACTCTCACACCCCTCTAAACCCCACTATGTCTGTCTGAGGCAGGTGGACGGGCCGCAGCAGTATGAGCGAGTGAGCGGCACAAACCTGGGGGGAGGCACGTTCTGGGGTCTAGGCCGCCTGCTCACAGGGTGCAAGAGGTGAGAGACCTAGGTTCACATGTTCCCTTTGCATTTGCACAGGTGAGGCACATTTGATGTTCAGCATATGGCGCACAACGTTTGAGGAGTTGAGTTATACAATTCTTCCTCACATCTCCCGTCGCATTCTTTCTTTCGCATGTCAGTCCCCCTCCTTCTCACCTTCTTCCTTCCTACCCCTTCAATCCTTCCCTTTTTTATTCCATAACCACCAAGTTCTGACATGATTCTAAACCTCTGGCTCAGCCAGGAGGAGTTAGGGTAGCTCTTCCATGCTTTTCTTTCATGCTCTTCCTCTCTCGTCCTGCGCTTTCACACCATCACCTCTTCATTCCCCTTTCTTCCTCGTTCCCCTCCCATTCTTCACTTCACCACAATCATCAGTTTTGACAAGATCTTGGAGCTAAGTCAGGAGGGAGACAACTCCGCTGTTGACATGCTGGTGGGGGACATATATGGCGGGCTCAACTACGAGAAGGTGAGGCATGGATGAGAATGCGGGCAGGTCAAGACCCCCACTCACCAACCCCACCTCCCGCATCATCCCCACCCCACATTGGATCGCCTGTCAGCTTCCACCATCGCTCTCACTTTCGACTTCTGAGGCTTCCTGTCACCCGCACTCCCCTCCCCAACCCTCCCCATTCCCCCCCACCCCCTCCTCACCCCCCTCTTCCCTTGTCCCCTGTAACTCCCATCCCTGATTTCCCCCCTCCCAGATTGGCCTATCAGCAGCTACCATCGCCTCTAGCTTTGGGCGAGTGGTGGGGGAGCAGAAGCAACTGTTTGATTACCGCCCGGAGGACATAGCGCTGTCGCTGCTGCGCATGGTGTCGTACAACATCGGCCAGATCGCCTACCTCAACGCCCTGCGCTACAACCTCAAGCGCATCTTCTTTGGCGGGTTCTTCATCCGCGGGCATGCCTACACCATGGATACCATCTCCTTTGCCATCAAGTTCTGGTGAGTCAAGCTTCTGTGCATGCAATCAAGGTGGCTCAAATCATACTCCTTCATCTGTGCTTGAGGGCGGCGCCTGTGCTCAAGGTGGCTCCCTGCGCTACAACCTCAAGCGCATCGTCTTTGGCGGGTTCTTCATCCGCGGCCGCGGGCATGCGTATACGATGGATACCATCTCCTTCGCCATCAAGTTCTGGTAGGTCAAGTGTCTGTGAGCAATCAAGGTCGTGAATTGAATCCTCAACGCCCTGTGCTACAACCTCAAGCGCATCTTCTTTGGCGGGTTCTTCATCCGCGGGCATGCGTATACGATGGACACCATCTCCTTTGCCATCAAGTTCTGGTGGGTGCAGTGTTCTTGGTGGTGGTGGCGCTTTTAGTGAGGAACTGTGAGGTGTAAGGATTCGCTCGACGCCCACAAGCAGAGCGCTCGTGCAAAGGGACGAGGGCTCTCCCTCACCCTCGCCATCGTGTCCCTTTCGTCTATCACGCCGTCCGTCCCCTCCCACTCACCCAACCCTTCCTTTTCTGTCTTCCCTACCTCCCCCCGCCCTCCCTCCCTCCCTCTCCCTTGTAGGTCCAAGGGTGAGATGGAGGCCACCTTTCTGCGGCACGAGGGCTATTTGGGCGCATTGGGCGCCTTTCTAGCACACGAGGAGGATGCTCACGCAGAGGGCCGCGCCCTCTCCCTCACCCCCGGCATCACGTCGCTGTCGTCCCTCACGCCGTCGCAGCTGGTGGAGCGCTTCCCCATGGGCGCGCCCTTTTCTAAGGGGGAGATCCGAGGGCCTGTGATTCGTGGGCTCAAGGAGAAGGTCTCCTGGGTGGAGAAGTTCGTGCAGGTGGGAATGGGGCAGGCGAGAGGGGAATAGAGTGGGGTGGTGAGAGGTGTTGCTCTTCCTCACGCACATATGTGTAAGCAGAGAATGACATCACACAGCACCATCTGAACCTCTCTCACTACGCCCTCATGCACATGTGCAGGTGGGGAGTGACATCACGGCGCCCACGCCCACAGGCAAGCCGCCAACGACCACGGGACTGGGGGGCTTTGCGAGGCCTAGGGAGCAGGGCAAGGAGCTGCGGTCAGATGAGTCCGCGCTCAGTGTGGGAGTGCTGCACCTCGTGCCCTCGCTGGAGGTCTTCCCGCTGCTCGCCGATCCAGTCAGGTACTGTGGGCTCGCGAGTGGGCAATGCTGGGTGGGTGATATGGTGTGGTGGGGGGTGGACGGTCAGTGAGTCGGTGCTCAGTGTGGGTGTGCTATACCTCGTGCCCTCGCTGGAGGTTTTCCCATTGCTCGTCGACCCAGTCAGTCACTGCTGCCATCTCCGCTTGAGCGTTTACATGTTCAGATTAATTAGTAGAAGTTCTTTCTCCGCTTGGCATTCTTTCAATTCCGTGCCTTGTTAATTTGAAGTTGTGAAAAGATGAAAGTCATTTCGAAGAATCTTGACTCATCGTTGCAGCAGCTGCGGTGGCATAACTTAAATGAACCCTGGGAATTGAAATAGCTGACAGAATCCGTGACGGTGCCGCAGCGCCTCACATTCCTTGTGATAAGAGCTCCAAAGCTAGTTGCCCTCCCTTACAACATTGGTGCGTTGTCCAGATTGCGCAAGCTGAATTTAGGTTGCTCTGTCTTCCTGCGTCTCTCTGATTCGATAACACAACTTTCGTTTCTGCATAAGCTGGTCATTTCCGCTCCCTCTATCAGTTCGCGCAACAACTTACATTTAGGTTGCACAATCTGGACAACGCAGCAATGTTGTCAGGGAAGGCAGCTAGCTTTGGTGCTCCGATCACAAGGGATGTGAGGCAATGCAGCATTGTCACGGATTCTAGAAGTTTTTCAAATTCCCAAGCTTCATCAATGTAAAGTCACCGTAGCTGCTGCAACGATGAGCGAAGATTCTTCGGAAGGACCTTCATCTTTTCACAACTCCAAATTGACAAGGCGCGGAGTTGAGAAACTGATGTCAAGGGAAAAAGGAACTGTTGGTTAATCTGAACGTGTAAACGCTCGAGCGAAGGTGCCAACAGCAGCAGACATTCTTTAAGAACCTCACTGGGACCTGATCCATCCCACTGATACATGGTTGTGAATGCACCCTTTGCTCCTCTTTCCCCTTTCTCTCCCCTTGTGCCTCCTTCCCTGTTTTGCTTTCCCTCCCTCTGTCATTGCTTCCCCTTTCCCTTCCTTTCTCACTCCCCCCTTCCCATGTCTGTCTGTCTATTTCCCTCTGCTCTCCCCCCTCTCCTGTGACCGCCACCAGCTACGAGCCCAACACAGTGGACCTTGCAGACCCAGACGAGAGGGAGTGAGTGGGGCATGGGGGAGGTTGAGGGAGGAATGTAGGGCACGTTGGTGTTGGAACTGGGCAAGAGGTGAAGGGGAGAGTGTTTGTGCTTATGAGGATGAGTGGTGTTAGTTTCTGATGTCTTGAAATCAATATTCCTTTTTATTTCTTGTCAACTTTTTGCTCTCTAGTTACAATGGTGCAATCCACACCATCCCTCTTTCCTGTTTCGTAACTTCCCCATCATGGGTATTACATTTGACATGGCATGGCGTGGCAATGCATGCATGCCTGCATGTATGGTCTCATCAGGTACTGGCTTGGAATTCTGCAGGATCACATTCCCAATCTCGTGGAGAAGGTGAGAGACAGGACCATACCACGGGGGAGCAAGCCAAAGGGCAGGACCATACCTAGGGGATGATTGAAACGGCTCATGCCCTCTCGCATTGGCAACATTGGGAAGATCATGAGTGGGAGGAGCAACTGCGCTGGGAGGATTTTGAGAAGTCACGGTATCGAACCCATGCTTCAAGGATTGACCTTGTGGGAGGAGCAACCACGGGTGACCACCCTAGGAGAGAGGTATGGGGGACCTTAGTGGATTACCAGGAAGAACAACCCTAGGGAAAATGCGAGTCAACTTCAACAGCATCTCTCCTTTCTTCCTCCCCTCCTCACCTTCTCTTGCTCCATCCCTCTCTCCTGCCCTCCCTCCCTCCAGGCAGTGGGAAGTGAGGGGGCAACAGAGGATGCCAAGAGGAGGGGAGACGCCTTTGCCTTGGCCTTCAGGGCGCATCTCACCAGGTGGATAGCCGCCTCCTCCTCCTCCTCCTCCTGCTCCTCCTCCTCCTCCTCCTCCTGCTCCTCCTGCTCCTCCTGCTCCTCCTGCTCCTCCTGCTCCTCCTGCTCACCCTCCTGCTGCTGCTGCTGCTTAAGTCACTGCCACCACCACCACCATTTGCTGCCCCTGCTGCCCCTGCTGCTGCTGCTGCTGCCCCTGCTGCTTCTGATTCCGTTGTCGCTTCTGCTACTCGCTTAGGTGCTGCCACTGCGTCTTCTTTGTCATGCCGCTGCCGCTGCTGCTGCTGCTGCTTCTCTTCTTGCTGAATATTGCACAAGGACCAATCAATCATACATGCCCATGGGGTTTCAGATCCACTTGCCCCAACCATGTGCCCAACCCTCCCTTTCCTCACAGGCTGAGGGAGGAGCCAGCAGCGTATGGGCGGTTGGGGCTGGCAACGCTGCTGGAGATGCGCGAGGAGTGTCTGAGGGAGTTCCACTTCTTTGATGCCTATCGTGCTGTCAAGCAGCGGTGAGTGCTGTGGGGAGGGACGGGGAGGGAAGAAGTGATGCACGTTTCTGTTGGCCTCTGAAGCAGTGGCACCAAGTGCTAGTTCCAGCTCCGGAGATGCGAGAGGAGTGCCTGAGGGAGTTCCACTTCTCTGATGCCCACTGAGCTGTCAAGCAGTGGTGAGTGAGCGTTGAGAGGGGAGGAGGGTGAAAGAGATGAGCAAAGCATAGAGGGGACAAGGTGGGAAAGAGGCGAGGGATGGCGTTCAGCTCCGGAGATGCGTGAGGAGTGCCTGAGGGAGTTTCACTCCTTTGACGCGTACCGTGCTGTCAAGCAGAGGCTAGAGCTGTCAAGAGAGGACAGGTGGGCTGCGAAGGTCTAACTTGCATCAAATCGTGTTGTATTAGGACAGCGGGAAGATGTGACCAACGTGGTGCTCACATCTGAAGCAGAGGCAAGAAGTGTGGCTTCAGCTCTGGAGATGCGCGAGGAGTGTCCGTGAGAGTTCCACTTGTTTGCTGCGTACTGTGCCGTCAAGCAGCAGTGAGTGGAGATGGGGGAGAAGAATCGAGGAAGAGGTGAGAGTGGAGAGAGGTGAAGCAAAATCGAGGGGACCATCTGGAGCATGCGCCTTTTTTTTTTTCTTTTCTTTTTTTTTCTCCTCGTTTTTGCTGCAATTTGATAGTGGAGAGAGGTGAAGCAAAAAACGACAGTGGTGATAGTGGACCGCCTGGAGGATGCACTATCTTTGAAGTTCGCAGCTGGCGATAACTTCAAAGGTGAGTCGACTTAAAAAGCTGACTCATCTGGAGCAAGCACTGGTTCACAGCTGGCGATGATTTTGAAGGTGCCTGGAAAACCGCCTATTGTCTTGCGGGTTTACTGAGGTGACAGCAAGAAAAGGACGCCGCGTGTACATGCTTTACCTTCTGAGCCAAAATCAGGAGAGGAATCGCTATGGCTTGTTACACCCCTTCTTGCATTGCACATTGTCCCTTTCTTTCGGTTGTGAACCCTATGACCCTGATCCAACTTCGTCCCTCTCCCCTCCTGCTCTGTCTGCTTTGCCCTCTGCAACCAGGGAGAATGACGTGTCTCTGTCAGTGCTGCCTGACCTTCTAGCCGAGCTTGACAGCATTCCGCCAGTAAGCCCAGCCCAGCTCTCTTGTTGGTTGGTGCAAATGAGCAGGTGAGCGTGGTGGCTCGTTTTTCATCTTATCGTGGGATCATTCTGGACATCTACCGCATGAGCCGAGACAAGATGAAGCAACCATGAAAGCAAGTTCACCTTTGCTTGAACCTCCCCTTCTCTCCCCATTTTACCCAATTCTCCTCTCTCTCTTCCCATCCCATCACCACCAGGAAGAGCGCCTATTAACAGTGGTGGGGGGGGTACTAGCAGCGAACATATTCGACTGGGGTTCACGAGAGTGCGTGAAGCTGTACCGCAGCGGCACCATTCTCGACATCTACCGCATGAGCCGCGACAAGATGAAGCGCCCGTGGCGGGTGGACGACTTTGATGCATTTCACCAGCGCTGCCAGCACCGGCCGTACAGCAAGGCACTGCTGTTTGTTGATAATGCTGGGGCAGACGTGGTGCTGGGAATGCTGCCTCTGGCTCGGGAAATGCTGAGAGCCGGGACTAATGTGAGTGGGAGTGCAGTGAGCGTGAGTGCAATGAGCGTGAGTGCAGAGGAACATCAGATTCCTTTCCTAATATTGGTGTTTCAAATCATGCCATTCAAATGAGGTGTCCTTTCCTCTGCTGCGCTCCTGCCTTTAACTTCGTCCTCTGCAGGTGGTGCTGACTGATGGCCAACTCACTGCCACAACTGCCACCCATCAACAAAGTCAAGCTTGCCTGCAGCTCACTGCACACAAGCTGGATTCCGTGCTTGATGTTGGCCGCCCTCTTCCCGCTCCACCAACCGCATTCAACTCCCCACCACCCTTCCTCATCGCTCCCTCTCCCCCCCTGCAGGTGGTGCTCGTGGCCAACTCGCTGCCAGCCATCAATGACGTCACAGCAGATGAACTGACCGCTGTGGTGGCTGAGGCTGCGCAGGTGAGAGCTTGAGCTATAGAACAGCGTCTAACCTGGGAGCTGCTTGGTCGATTAACGCGATTTCTTTTGTGCAAGGTGTTGATTGGGTGATGACTGAAGTGTTTCAAATGCCGCAGTTGTGACTGAGGTTACTCAAGTTGCCTTATTCCAGCATCTAATCAAGGAGTTTGCGGTTACGCATTTCCCACCACCAGCTGGTGCCTCATCCGCCCCACAAAATGTCTCCCTTCCTTCCCACCTCACCCTCGCCGCGCCGCTTCCCCTACCCCCACTCCTCCCGCCACAACCAGCACTGCCCTGTGCTGCGAGCAGCAGCAGAGGCAGGAGGGGTGATGGCCGAGGCTGCTTCGTGGTCGACTCAAGCGACACAAACAGGAGGGGACGGGCAGCAAGGGGAGGGGAGGCAAGCAGCGGTGCAGGCAAACCAGCCACCTGTTCATTCAGAGCAAGCACCAGCGCAAAATCATCATCATCAGCAGCAGCAGAAGCAGGAGGAGCAACAGGGGGATGAGGAGCAGCAGCAGGTGTTTCTGTCGGTGGTGGCGAGTGGGTCAGGCAGTCCGTGCATCGATTTCAGACAAGTGACGTGGGAGCTGGCTCAGGCCTGCCAAGGAGCTGACCTCGTGAGTTTGTGTAGCGGTGGTGGTTGTGAGTGCAAGTGGGGCACTGCTGTTACCGCAATAGCTGCAGCAGTGCTGTGAGTGCAGAAAGGGTGCTGTCAGTTTGTCTTCCATGCTGTCAGTTTGCCTTGCATGCTCTGCTCTTTGCCGTGCATCCATTAATGCTTCCTCACATCCCATCCTGTCCCCTGGCCATTCAGGTTGTATTGAAGGGCATGGGTCGCAGTCAGTCTGCACACCAACTATGTCACTCTTCACTTCGGCCTGACTAGTGACTTCTTGCCTCTGCACATCACATCACATCGCATTTCCTCCCCATGCAGGTTGTACTGGAGGGAATGGGTCGCTTTTGAGTCGACTCAAAAGTCACCTCGGTGCCTGCACACCAACTACGACACTCTTGGCTTTTGGGTTGATCTTTTGCCTCCTCACATCACATCACATCGCATTTCCTCCCCATGCAGGTTGTGTTGGAGGGAATGGGTCGCAGCCTGCACACCAACTACGACTTTCTTGGCTTTTGGCCTGACTCTTTGACTTGTGCTTCCTCACATCCCATCCTGTCCCCTGGCCATGCAGGTTGTGCTGGAGGGGATGGGTCGGAGCCTGCACACCAACTATGACACTCGCTTCACCTGTGACTCCCTCAAGGTAATCCCCAAGCTTCTGTGCTGACGTGCAGCACACTGTTGACATTGACCACATGTTTTTTTACATTGACCACATTGTTTTTTACATTGAACGCATCAGTCTTGGTATTAAGCACACAGTGCCTGACCGCTTCACTGTATAAGTTGTACAGTATAGCATCTGAAGTAGATGAGAAGCACAACAAAGCTACAGGACACCTCTCTGTGCCTTATGTATCAGATAAAGTTGCATACATGCACTTGTGTCGCTGTCTTCCCCCTTTCCCATGCCTCATTCCCGCTCCTTTCACCCCCGCTCCAATCCTTGCCAGCTGGCGATGATTAAGAACGAGCGGCTGGCAAAGAGGCTGGTGGGCGGCAGCATGTACGACTGTGTGTGTCGGTTTCAGCCGGGGGCCAAGGCTGGTAGAGAGGGGGATGAGGTGACTGATGGGGCAGCTTGTTGACAAGGTGACTGCTGGGCGGTAACGTGGGCAGAAAAACTGTGGAGGATGATCGAAATGGAAAAAAGTTTGTAACAGACTCCAGTTGGTTGTTGCGGAAATATGATGGTGGAGGGGAATCAGGAGGCGAGAACGGGCACACAAGGCTTTGTAGGGAAATAGCTGCCCATTCTTTGATGAGATGACTAAAACTTGAGATGACTAATGTGAAGTGGTATTTTTCTCTCTTATACAACGAAGAGACAGTATCTCTGAAGAGGCTGTTACGAGTATGGAATGAACCCACAGGGGAACTTTCACTCATTGTCCGAAACTTCTGTGGAAAGAGGGAAACTCTCTCTACAGTCACAAACTCTTCTGTATGTCAGCGCGGGGATCTCGGAAATCCCAAATCGGTTCGGGGCCGGACCATATCTGACCCGAACCCACTGCCGCCGCCATTGCGCTTCGGGCATGGGCAACGCGCGTCGCACAGTTGCAAAACATGCACGGTGGTGGACATCCTCCAAGGACGCGGTAAAAATGGAGAATTCATCGCCCCAGGTTCGTATTTTAGCGCGGTTGTAAACGATTGTGTACTTTCGTATGCAAAACGCGGGGTTTCAGTGCTGTGACAGGATCGACCTCCCCCCGATCGAGCACTTTTACCGCGTCCTAACACTGCTGCAATCCATGCAAATCAAGGCCAGGGAGGTACAGTAGAAGCAGATCGAACAGGAAAGACACTGATCGTTGATCTCCAACAGATTTACGATGGTTGGAAATTGAGCTCCAGAATTTGGGGCCTTATTCCCTTCGCGTTTTTGCCTGTCCCCCGCCTGTCCGCCCTTCCGCCTGTCCCGCCACGCACGCACTCGTCGCACAACGAGCGTTTTCTTGTTAGGCACTACTGCTCGGCAATGCGGGCCCTCCTCCAGTCCCATGCGCTCGTAGCACCACCAGGAATAGAAGCAACTGCTCCTATTACTCGGCGTCGCGCCCTTGCGTGTGCCAGTGGCACTCGGCTCTCGACCCTAGTTTCAGGCCCGGCGTTAGGGTTACGGCTAGCGTTCTTACCTTCCAACAGAGCAACTCGCAGTGCTCCTTTGCCGATTCGCGCAGATTCTTCTCCCGGGAATCGCGCCGCGACGCCCGCCGGCTTTTCCGCCTTTCGTTCTTCCGTGCAGCCCACGCTTGCTCCGGAAAGCTCGCAGACCACTTCTTCCGCCGCCTTTGCCTCCGTTTCTTCCGGCGCAAATTTTGCCGCATCCATCGTGCCGGCTGTAGCAGCTCCTAAAAGCTTTCAAGACATGGCGGCAGCGGCCGGCGCGCCGGTTTTCACGCCGTGGAGCTCGCTATTCGGGGGAGTACTCATCGGCGTGGCGTCGACGCTGCACCTGTTGCTGTCGGGGCGCATTATGGGCGCCTCGGGAATAATCAACGGTATTTCTCGTTATAATCACACTTCGTATCGTCGCGATACACGATAACGGTCATCCGATGGACTAATCTCGCACCTTCCCCCAACCCCCACCCCCCTTGTTTTCCCCCAATCCTTCCACCAGGCGCTATTTCGGGCGCTTCTGATTGGCCATTCCGCGTCGTGTTTCTCGCGTCCATGCTCGCCGTCGGTTGCGCGGCGCACCTCGCGCTGCCCTCCGCGTTCGGCGCGCCCACCTTCCCCGCGCCCGCGCAAGACCCCGTCGCATCCGTTCTGCTCCCCGCAGTCGCCGGCGTGCTCGCGGGGTTTGGCTCTCAGGTGGGTGCGCTGTGCGCCGTGCGCTGTGCGCTGTGCGCGGTGCGCCTGGGTGCCGATGGGTTGGGTTGGGTGGGTGCGCTGTGCGCCCGGCCATGGTGGCCTGTGTGGCGACGTTATAATGATTCAGTTTCGTGTGGGCGAGTGGGTGTGTGGGTGAGGAGTTCGTGAGCTTGGGGGAGGGTGGGCGGGTGGGTGCGTGGGCGGCGGGATGCGCGGGTGCTGGTGCGCTTCCCACCCAGGCCATGGTGGCTTGTGTGGCTGCGTCGTGCTTCTTGCTGTTACTCGTTGGGAATACTCAAAGCAATGAACCGCAATGGAGTTGGGAAATTTCGAAGCAACTGTGCTGGTCGGCTTCCGCTCCCCTTCCCAACGCCCCCTCCCCTCCCCTCCCCTCCCCTCCCCTCCCCTCCCCTCCCCTCCCCTCCCCTCCCCTCCCCTCCCCTCCCCTCCCCTCCCCTCCCCTCCCCTCCCCTCCCCTCCCCTCTTCTCTCCTCCCCTCCCCTCCCCTCCCCTGCATGCATGCCAGCTGGGCAGCGGGTGCACGTCGGGTCACGGGGTGTGCGGCTTGCCGCGTCTCTCCATCCGCAGCCTCGTCGCCGTCTGCACCTTCATGACCACAGGCGCCATCGCCTCCACGCTCTCCAATGCGCTGCTGCCACCTGTCGCCTCTGCTGCCCCCGTTGCCCCACCTGCTAACGCCTGGATGGCTGCCCTCACAGGTGCTTTCTTGTAACACACAGGGACTTCAGAGTCCCTCTCTCAGGTGCTTTCTTGTAACTGGACTTGAGAGTCCCTCTCTCAGGTGCTTTCTTGTAACTGGACTTAAGAGTCCCTCCCTCAGGTGCTTTCTTGTAACTGGACTTTAGAGTCCCTCCCTCAGGTGCTGCTCTCTCAGGTGCTGCTCTCTCAGGTTCTGCTCTCTCAGGTGCTTTCTCAAGTCGACTTAAGAAGTCGCTTTATCAGGTGCTATCAGGTGCCACTTTCGCGGGTGCTGGCCCCTCGATACACCATACCTATTCATTTGGCTGTTACCTCCGTGTTCCAACTGTTTCCATACACTCGAGTACACAATTCATTCCCTCCCCCCCACTTGAGTTGCACTTATCCAAACCAGCCACTCAAATTCGCACCTCATCTCCGTCCTCCTCCCCCATCACCACGTCAAAACTTCACTTCATATCTGCCCCCCTTCCCACCTCTCGTTCCACTTTCTCTCTCCCCTCCCTCCCGCTGCCACCACACCACCCAGCGAGTGTGAGTGTGGCCTCACTGCTGCTGCTGCTGCTCGTCTTTTGAGACGTCTCAAAAGAACTCTCCCCTCCCTCCCGCTGCCACCACACCACCCAGTGAGTGTGGCCTCTCTGCTGCTGCTGCTCGTCAGAAGCATCGTCTCGCCGCCCGCAGCACCTTCAGTCGCAAAGGAACAGGTCAGCCACTCGTACCTGTGAGGGCTGGAGGTTTTTTTTTTTTTTTTTTTTTTTTGCGCCTCAAACCTCGTCAGAATTCCTGTTTCCTCCGTCCGTCCCACCCTCCGTCCCAAAGGATATGTCAGGCGCTCATGCCTAGGAGGGATGTAACTTGTGTGGTTTTTTTTAGTCCACTTAAAAGCAGCAGCCCGCCCCTCCTTCATTTGCAAAGGGCTAGTTCGGGTGCTCATGCCTGTGACGGCTGTGTCGTCCGCCCATTTGCATTCCCTCCACATCCCACCTTTTCCTTGCAGCAAACGCTGTAAACTTTCCCTGTTTTATCGTTTTCGTCGCCTTCTCGTTTCCCCCTTGCTTCTTTAGTTGCCTCAAACCTCGTCAGAAACGCTGCCTTGCCGCCCGTCCCACCTGCAGTCGTAAATGACAAGGTCAGGCGCACGTGCCTGTGAGGGCTGTAGCTTGCTTGGTGACTTTTGAGTCGACTCAAAACGAGGCGAATTCTGAGTTGAGTGGACTTAGAGGTTGCTTGCTCCACCTTCAGTCGTAAATGATGAGGTCAGGCGCACGTGTCTGTGAGGGCTGTATCATCCGCCCTATTGCGTTCCCTCCACATCCCACCATGGAAAAAAAAAAAAAAAAAAAAAAAATTGCTCGAAGCACTGTGACATCACTCTTCGTTGTCATCATCTTTTTTTTGTCCTCCTCCTTTCCTGGTGTCCCGCTTTTTTGTTTGTGCGCCCAGCCACCCAAGGCAGCAGCGCCAGGGGCAGTGCCCCCCATCCTGCTGCTCTCCTCCATGCTCTCAGGAGCAGTCTTTGCTGTCGGCCTCACCTTCAGTGGCATGTGAGCACTCTTCTTGCATGTGAGCACTCTTCTTGCATGGTTAGGCACCCTCCCCCTTTCGCTCTGGACAAGTTGTGCACTATTGACAAGTCAGGAATAGAGATTGCTACTGGCATTTGTTTCCATTCCTTTCAGTCATGCCCCTCCGCATCAGGCTCAACCCATGGATGGGACTCCAGCGTGGCGTTTGTATCACCTTCCGTTGGGCACCTCATTTATCATTATCATCCATCACCCCCATCAGGCTCAACCCAGCCAAGGTGAAGGCCTTTCTGGACTCCATCCATGGATGGGACTCCAGCGTGGCGTTTGTATCACCTTCCGTTGGGCACCTCATTTATCATTATCATCCATCACCCCCATCAGGCTCAACCCAGCCAAGGTGGAAGCCTTTCTGGACCCCATCCATGGGTGGGACCCCAGCCTTGCATTCGTGATGGGTTGAGCGGTGCTCTTGTCACGTCTGACACCCTGTCCCTTCGAACCCTCCCATTGTATTTTGATCCATGATGCCCCTCCCCATCAGGCTCAACCCAGCCAAGGTGAAAGCCTTTCTGGACCCAATCCACGGGTGGGACCCCAGCCTTGCGTTTGTGATGGGGGGAGCGGTGCTCTTTAACTTAGTCGCGTTCCACCTCGTTCTCAAGCAGCGGCATCCACTGTTGGTCCCGTCCTTCTCGCTCCCCACTCGGAAAGACATCACTAAGGAGCTAGTCATTGGGTCGGCAATCTTTGGACTGGGTACGTGAGGGATATTCCTGGCTTGAAAACCATTTATCCAAGCCATGTCTTGTTTCTTTGATGCTGCTTGTTGCTCATGGGTGTTTTCATGTGTGACTTGGACTCTTGTCCGCACCGTCTTTTGCCTTTACTTCGTTCAGGATGGGGGCTTGCTGGATTTTGCCCAGCACCTGCGTTTGTTAGCGCTGTCACTGGCAAGGTATGAAACCTGGAAAGGAGCAAACCAAATTCTTTTGAGGTGGTCGTGTATAGGATGCACTAACCTGACTCTGTTTTGCCTGACTCTGTTTTGCAGGTGCCTATTATTGTGTGGTTGGCTTCTCTTGTTGTTGGGATGAAGGTTTACAATGTTATGTACAGCTAAGCTAACCTAATGGAACATTTCTAGGCCGACCAGGTTATGGTTAGATGTTTTTGATTTGCTTGTTTGCTTGTAGTTCGGTCAAACGGATGAATATGCAGTAATGGTGGGTTAAGTGCGGTTCTTTCAGGTCATAACGCGTGACACAAGCTTTTCCTGGATCTGATTGCCTCAACAACTAATCGTCTCGGAAATCGCGGCAACCCATTTTCATTTGCAATGCAATTTGTGCTGTCCCCCTTCCCCCTCCGCACTCTCCTTTCTCCCCCGAAAGCATCTGTTAGCAATCTCCGCTAAGAGCATATTCCCCCGCTTCAGGCAGTTTTGAGTTTTTCCTGTGAGCATTTCCCTAAGTGCAGAGCAGTCAGCTTGCTAACTGAACCTTTCCCAATCCCAAGGTGCGCAGCGAGCTCTGAACATTTTCCAGGTTGGGGAAGCTGAAAACACTTTCCTATAAGCCGTACGGAGACACCACAGGCACCAGGGTCAACGCAACACAGGGAACGGAGGAAAATGGCTGCTCCTTCGTTGTCTCTTCTTCCCTAACAGCTCACTGCGTGGCTGGCGTGAGCTGCTGCCAGCTTCAGTTGGAGCCTGGAGGTCCTCAAAATGCCATGGTGTGGCATGGACTAGCTCTGCGTTGCCTTGTCCAATTACAGAAGCATCACCAAAACCATAGCCATCGCGCTAACAGTGTCAAAGGCACCTGCAGGATGCTTATGCGAATCTCTCGCCCATGTTCATTTGGACAGAAGTAGGCCGTGTCGTATGACTCATTTTCCGACGCTGTCGCACGCTGTCGCACGCAGTTGAAACTATCGCAGCTACTTCGTAGCCGTTGGATCGTCACCGCATGGCGCTAGTTGACCGTTGGACGGCTGATGATACGGCTGAGTTGCTCTCGTATTCAACCGAGGACGAGTACGAATACGAGCATTCCACTACCGGATTACTCAATGTCGAAACCTATTCAGAGGAGGCGTTTCCAGGCGAGGCATTTGAAGGGATCACGACCAGTGAAGCGGTGTGCATTCACGACGGTTCGCGAATGGTGGCGATTTCGCGAGTAGAAGGCGAATGCGACGAGAACGAAGGCCGGGAAGACGGTGTTCGGCAGGAAAGAGGGCCGGGAACGTGGGGGGGAGTCAATCCGTACGAAGGAGGGTCGGGAAGGCGGGAGAGATTTGATCCGTACGAAGGAGAGTCGGGAAGGCGGGAGAGATTTGATCCGTACGAAGGAGGGTCGGGAAGACGGGAGAGATTTGATCCGTACGAAGGAGGGTCGGGAAGACGGGAGAGATTTGATCCGTACGAAGGAGGGTCGGGAAGACGGGGAGAAATTGGTTTGTTCGAAGGAGGGCCGGGAATGGGGGGGATTTTTGATCCGTACGAAGGAGACTCGGGAAGACGAGAGGGGTTCGACTCTTACGAAGGAGGGCAGGCAAAGGGGGGATCATATTGTTACGAAGCAGCCGCGTCTGGTTTGCAGCGTCGAGGATTGTTCAGACGGGGCAGCGAGCCGTGCGAATGGTATATGATGGATGAGGAGGGGGAAGCGGAGGAGGACAAGGAACGAGAGCAGGGAGGAGAAGAGGGGGGAGAATGGGAAGTGAGGGGAGAGGAGGGGGAAGTGTGGGAAGAGGAGGGGGAAGGCGACATGTGCAGTGTTCGCGCGCGTTCTGTTACACAGGCTTTCCCAATGTCCGGTTCACTCCAGGGAGAATCATCGCACACCCGTTGGAATCTGAGCCAATTTCCGAAGTCGTTATCTGGCCCGAACTTCCAAATGGCTTGCGCTCCGCCCGCTCCTTCCGCCCGCCGATTCGTCCACCACTCCTCTGCGCCGCGGCCTGCAGCCCCCGCGACCCCCACCGGAGCGGAAAGCTCCGCGCCTCCCCCTACGGCGGGCGCGCAGGGAACGCTGCTCCGCAAGTCCTCCGCTCCCCCGTTGCGCGCCTCTGCCCCCGCGACCCGCATTTTCGCGGAAACATACGCCCCTGGTTGGGGTTCATTCAGCGAACGCGCGGGGAATACCACCGCTACCAGTGCGGAAACTGCTGTAGGCACTACAGCGGATATTGATGCGGGTACTACCGCGGATGCTGCTGCAGGAATCGCGTGTCAAGATGCCACATTAACGCGCAGGCGCACAGTGGGAGCAATGCCGGTTTTTGGAAGCCGATTGGTGGCTGACACATGGGGGAGCAGCGGCGAGGAAGAGGAACAAGGGGGAGAGGAACAAGTGCGCGGGGAAGAGAATGCGGAGGAAAGGGTAAACGAGGGGGCGCAGCAGCAGAGGCGGGATGGGGACGTCGGGGGGAACAGTGGCACGCGGAAGGGGAACAGACGGCGGAAAGGGGAGCGATGGAAAAGCGGTCCTCTGCTGAGCTCGTCCGCTGCTGCTGCTGTGACTGCTGCGGCAGCAGCAACAACAGCAGCGAGAACAGCAGCAACATCAGCTGCAGCTGCAGCCTTCCTGCCTTCCTCGAGTTTCTCTGACCGCATTTCTGACCGCCTGCAGCAACAGCAGCAGCAGCAAGCGTGGCAGCGAAAGCTAAGTGTTGAAACGATAGCAGGCCTCATGAGTAGCACTGGTTCCCAGGCAGGGAGCGGAGGCGGTGAATGGGGTGATTCGGGTGATGGGGATGATGGGGGTGCAAGGGGGAAAGGAGGACAAGAGCACAGGACCGTAGGCTCACGAGGAGTGGCGAAGAGAACACAGGGTGCAGCATCAGCAGACGAATTGGCAGCAGATGAAGCGGCATCAGGAGGAAGCCTTGGTGAAGTAGCAGCGCCAGTGACCCCACAGACGCCTGTGCTGGGCGGCAGAGGGCTGTGCTGGCCCGCCCCTAGAAAAGGGAGCAGCAGCAGCAGCAGTTGTGGCACTAGCAGCGGTGGTATTGGTCGCAGCTGTAGCAGTATTGGCCGCAGCTGTAGCAGTATTGGCCGCAGCTGTAGCAGCAAAAGCGCAGAGGAAGCCAAGGAATCTGTCGCAGGTTCTGATGATTTTCCAATCTGTGAAGAGTCGTGGAGAGCGAAGGAATCGAGGGGTACGGGTGAAATCGGTGGTACTATTGACGAGGAGAGGGTGTTGCCGGGTGAAGAGGATGGAGTGAGCAGAAGGGCGGGGAGGAAGGGGGGTGCTAGTAGGCGGACTGCAAGTGATGTGCCCAAGGCAGTGACATGGGCTGATGTGCGGTATAAAGCGGTGGAGAGATTTTTCCCTGCTGTGCCGAAATCAGCTTCTCTTTCTGAGCATGCCTCGGTTCCTGGTGTGGGTTCGGTTTCAGGTTCAATCCCAGGTTCAACATCTGGTTCGAGTTCAGGTTCAGGCTCGGTTGAGGATCGTCGCGTGCAGCATCGGCGCAGGTGGAGTGTTGCAGAAGCAGTAGTAGTGAACGTGACTGGCAGGTCATGCAGTGGTGTGGCGGAGGGAGAGGAGAAGGGGGCGAGTGGCATGGGGCATGGTGTAGTGACGGAGGAGGTTGAAGGGTCTGTGTGCGTGCATGGTGATGCTGCCAGTCTGATAGGCACAGAGCAACAGCAACAGCAAGGGCAGCAGCAGCAGGGGCAGCAGCAGGGGCAGCAGCAGGGGCAGCAGCAGGGGCAGCAGGAGCCAAGGGGGCAGAGGGAAGCGCAGCGGGAGCGACAGCAGCAGGGGCATGGGAAGGCACGCAGCAGCCCCCTGCAGCCTCGACGTGGGGAGAGGCGGTCCGTGCAGTGGCGGAGTGGCAGTGCTGTTGAACGGTCACGCTCCCATGAACATTCGCACTCACTCTCCCACTCACACTCCCATGAACATTCGCACTCACTCTCCCACTCACACTCCCACTCACCCTCACGCTCACACTCGCACTCGTCCTCCCTCGCCCCTCCTTCGTGTGAAGGGTTGGGGGAAAACAACTCGCAGGCTCATGAGAGGTATGCGAGGGCAGGGGAGGGAGGTGAAGGCAGAGGAGGAAAGGCGAAGGGAGGGCTAGGGAGGCATGGGCGCAGCAGGAGCCTGGTAAGTCTTCGAAGCAGGCATCACAGCAGCACCAGTGCTGCTTCTGGTGATGACCTGGGTGGGACAGACGATTCCCCTGCTTCTCTGTCTGGCTCGTTCCTCTCTGCTGCTTCTGCTGCCTCTGCGGCTGCCTCTGCGGCTGCCTCTGCTGCAGTGTGTGCAGCAAGCTCAGCAAGCCGTGTGGTGCTGCAGAGAATGCAAGGGCCAGGGTCATGCACCCTTAGCTCTGCTACTGCTACAGGAGTTGCGGGGATCAGCAGCTTGGATGCGGTGAGGAGGCGGAAAGGCAGGAGCGTGAGCAGCATTGGGTTAGACTTGCAGCCTCACACACTCATTCCCAGCGGTAGCAGCAGTAAGGGGAAGGGTCTCCCCAGGCACAGGCGCACTCTGAGTGAGTTCCACCACCACGGCTCCGCTCCTGCTGCTCACCTTGATGATCGTGATGCTGGTGATGGCAGTGCTGGCAACAGCAGTCCCTGCGGCGATTCGCCTGGGAGGTTCCGCCTCTCTCGGCAAACGAGCAGTGGCACCCGTGCCTTGGTTGCTCTTACCAGCTGCACCTTCCCCCGCAATCCCAGCCCCCTCTCCTCCCCTGCTCGCCCTGCCACTGCCAGCCCTAACGGCCGTGCCAGCAGGGGGCATGCAAGCAGCGCGCATGCAAGCAGCGCGCATGCAAGTGGCGCGCATGCAAGCAGTGCGCATGCAAGTGGCGCGCATGCAAGTGGCGCGCATGCAAGTGGCGCGCATGCAAGCAGTGGGCATGCAAGCAGCCAGAGACGCAGTCTTAAGAGTCCTCTAGGGTCCCCCTCTCTCCACACCCTCTCTCCTTCTCGCTCTCCCTCCCGCCGCTTCCCCACACTCTCCTCCTCGCCTTTCTCACGGTCCCGGCCCCCCTCCTCTCCCTTCCCTCCATCCTCGTCCATCTCCCCTGCGTTCTCCCCCACAATCTCTCCAACTCTCTCTCCCACTCACTCACCCACTCGCTCTCGCAACGGCAGCCCCGTTCCCCGCCTCCGAGCCTTGAACCTCCCGGGCTTATTCCTCCGAGCCTGCAATCCAGGCTCGTCGCCCAGCCGAGGGTGCATGGCAGGCCCGGCGCCGAGCTGCTTTGGATACATGGGCAGTCCTCAAGGATATGGGGGCAGATCACCTGGTAGTAGCAGTGAGAGCAGCAGCGAAAGCGGTAAAAGTGATGGTGGCAGTGATAATGGGGATGAGATAAGTGGTAGTGAGGGTGGAAGCAGTGTTGGTAGCGATAGTGGGGGTGATGGTAAGAGCAAAAGCAGTGGCAGCGAGGGTGGCAGCTTTGGGGATGATGGTGGGGATGATGGTGGGGATGATGGCCCAAGCAGTCCTGCTGGCAGCATGGTGCTGCATTCCGATGGTGATGAGGATGGGGAGGATGGAGTGGAAGAGGGTGGGGAGGAAGGTGGAGAGGAATGTGGGGAGGAAGGTGGAGAGGAATGTGGGGAGGAAGGTGGAGAGGAATGTGGGGAGGAAGGTGGGGAGGAATGTGGGGAGGAAGGTGGGGAGGAATGTGGGGAGGAAGGTGGGGAGGAATGTGGGGAGGAAGGTGGAGAGGAGGGTGCGGAGGAGGAGGCTGAAGAAACTAGACAGGTAAGGTGTGGAGAGGATAGCAGAAGTGAGGGAAGAGAGGAGGTACAGGGAGAGGAGGGAAAAGGAGAGCAGGGAGGAGGAGGGGAGGGTGCCGTAACTCCGCTCACCAATGCTCCCACCGCCTCCGTTGGTTCCTCAATCTCTCAACCTCCGACCCAGTCCATCAACCCAACACCCCAAGTGCGCCTCCTCTCTCGCCCGGCCACTGCTGTGACTCGCCAGCCCAGCGCTGCTCGCAGCTTCCTGCAGGAGCTGAGTGCCAGCAAACCCGAGGGGGTGTGTATGGCTGCTGATGCGTCTCGAAATCCCTCGCCCTCTCGCCCGGCCACTGCTGTGACTCGCCAGCCCAGCGCTGCGCGCAGCTTCCTGCAGGAGCTGAGTGCCAGCCGGCCACAGGGAGTGGGCATGGGGGCCAACAGAGGGGGAGGGCACGGGAACGGCGCGAATGCTGTGAATTTGGCTGCATATGCAAATGGCATGGAGAGAAGGGGAGATGGTGCTGTGAACAGTGAACCTCCAGAGGGCGGTCATTACAGAGGCGGCAGGCGGCGTTCCTTGTCTCCATTGGGACCGCAGCCGTCCGCTGGTATCCCAGATCCCAACGCAGTGGCGGATTTCAGGCCTGCTGCTGGCGTGCACTGGCAGCAGCAGCAGCAGCAGCAGCACTCTCGAGGGCACCTGGTACGAGCTCACAGCACTGCGGCGCCTCTTGGGAGCAGGGCAGCAGCAGCAAGTGCTGCTGAAGTGTACAGGCAGGAGCACCACTGTCCATCTCAGCTAGTCCGCACTCACAGCACTGCTGCACCTCATGCCAGCAGCGCAGAAGCAGCAAGTGCAGCAGCAGAAGCAGCAAGGGCTGCTGGGATGCCTTCCGAGCACGTTCCTCGGGTGCCGTTTCTTCCCCACATGCGCCCAGCACCACTTCGTAGTGCCAGTATGAGCTTGATGGGTGAGTCTATACCAGGGATGGATACGGAGAGGCAGCTTATGCAGGGGATGGACGGAGAGAGGCGGTTTATACAGAGGATGAGGAGCGGGGGGATGGTAGGAGGAGTGAGGGCAGAGGGCATGGGTGGTGGAAGGGAAGGTGGTGAAGGAGGAGGAAGGCAAGGGAGAGGAGAACGAGGTGGACGGGGAGGGAGAGGAAGGAGGGGAGGGAGAGGAGGTATTGGAGATGAGAGTGTGATGCGGCCAGTGACTGCTGGAGGGAGCATGGGTGTGTTGATGCATGGCATGAATGGTAGTGGGGACATAGGTGGTGGTGCAGGCATGGGTGGTGCTGCAGGCATGGGTGGTGCTGCAGGCATGGGTGGTGCTGCAGGCATGGGTGGTGCTGCAGGCATGGGAAGCAGAGGGGGTGGTGGACGGAAGGGGCCCATGCGCTCTGCACACATGGACAGGATGGGTATGAGGCGGTGTGGCAGCTTGAACATGTCCGCTGACTTGGACGCACCTTATTGGACTCGTCACGCTGATGACATGGACAGGTTCCATGAAGATTTGCACACTGACGTGGATGGATCGTGGGGTGGAGGTGCGGACGATGGATGGGGGGGTGGTGCTGAGTCAGCAGCGTGGAACCACGGGCTGGCTTATGTCAGCATGCCACATCGGCCGTACTCCTCTGGGGGTCCTCCTATGGGTGTAGCTAGAAGGGGCCACATGGGGCACGTGGGAGCTGCGCCGATGAATATGGGGGGATCTGATGTGGCCTTTGGAGGGTATGCCATGGCCATGGGTGGTGGAGTGAATCCGCATGGGAGGGACATGGGCAGGGGTATGGTTAAGGTGGGCCTTCACAGGCACATGAGCATGAGCATGGCCCCACAAGTATCACAGTATGCAAGTGGGATGTGTGGTTCTTGTAAAGATGAGGATGAGGATTTGGCTCGTTTTGGTGAGTCAGTGTCACGGAGGTACACCCGTGGCCTTGACCGTAGCAGCAGTTCAGTAGCCTTTTTACCATCAGATTAGTTCTAGATCTGATGTGCTAGGCTAGTATAAGCCATGGGAACATGGATGCAAAGCACACTACTCCCTGAATGGGACCTCTGTACATTCTCGATCTTAGTAAAAACATATTCCCGTCGTACACGGATTGGTCGCTCAGTTTACATCCCCGCTGTAAACTGCACGAAACCGAACCGAACCACACAGAAATGTCTCGGACAGCTTGAATGACGATGATCCCTAAGCGCGAACGGCGAAGTTCCCTAAGCCGGCTTTCCACTCCCTCCCGTCCGTCCTATCCTCCTTTCCCTTCACTTTCCCCTCCATAATCAGCGCCTTGGACTTCCCTTGGAATTGCCGATTTCCACTAGGCCAGCATCACTGTAGCAGCCATAACGCACTTCCCGGAACACCTCTCTCCGCCAGTCGCCGCTCTTTCCGCTCCGACGAGAGCAGTCCAGGATTATTACCTGGCGACTAAGCGGCTCGCCTTCGCGACACCGTCTATTTATCTTATCTTGCTCTTTATTCGGTCTTCTCCTTCACAACCGGACCGTCCTCTCAGGGTTACTCGAATGTGTCTCGTTTCTGCACGAGTCATTGACCTGAGACACAACTCTTGCCATCCCACAACCTAACCTAACTAATTTCTAGTTCGTGAAGGAAAAAGACTGTTCCGACTGTTTAATTCGGATTTTCAGGTTCAAAATACCGCGGTTCTGACGTTCAAGTTGAGACAAGGTTTCAACTTTCCGTAGCTTTGGACAACTCGTGTGTAACGTCGCAAGTGCTGGTGATCACTCAGACTGCCATTGCGCGCGACTGCTACCGCTCGCTTAGCGCGAGACTGCCATTGCGCGCGACTGCTACCGCTCGCTTAGCGCGTCTAAGCGAGTGCTAGTCTATACCCAAGCTTGTGATCGTGTAAACGCGTGACACTTTTCGACATAATCATCGGAGGGTTCGTTCGTTAATCACTCCGCCGTCGTCACTGGCCGGCACTCCCGCTTAACTTAATCCGCCGTAGTCACAGTGCTGCGCTCGCGCTTAACTGATTCCGCCATCGTCAAGCCGCGATGGCGTCCGCCATGCCCAAGTCGCTCTCCGCGCGACGCGTGTGGTTCGACCAGTTCGTCTCGCCGGGTCGAGTGCTCACCGCGTCCGTTCTCGGACGACCAACAGGTGACTCCTCTGCTAACCCAATGCTTCGTCTCAGCTGTTGGGGAGATCGTACGGCTCTGATTGTTAGCGAATCGTACGGTGGCGATTTCGTACAGAACCTGTTATCGTTGATTTCGTTCCTTCGTACGCTCCTCCGAACAATTCCTCTCATCCTCCCTCCACGTTCTCCGCGCCGCACTCCCCCCCATCCGTTCATTCTTCTCACTCTCGTTATTACGTTTCGCATTTCCTCCTTCCCTCCAAATCCCACTGCAGGAAAACTCGAATCGTTGTACAAAATCGGCGGGAAGCTAGGCCAGGGCCAGTTCGGCGTCACATATCTATGCACGGAGCTGGCGACGGGCAAAGAGTACGCGTGCAAGAAAAAGCTAATCACTGCAGAGACGTGAAACGGGAGGTGGCGATCCTGCAACCACCTGGCGGGTCGCCCGCTCATTTTTCTCGCTCTCCTCATTCATTACGTTTCCTCTTTCCTTATTCTCAATCCACTTCAGAAAAACTCGAATCGCTGTACAAAATTGGAGGGAAGCTAGGTCAGGGCCAGTTCGGCGTGACGTATCTATGCACGGAGCTGGCGACGGGCAAAGAGTACGCGTGCAAGACGATCGCGAAGAAGAAACTGATCACCGCGGAGGACGTGGCGGATGTGAAACGCGAGGTGGCGATCATGCATCATCTGGCGGGGCACAAGAACATCGTGTGTATCAAGGGCGCGTACGAAGACGCGTACGCCGTTCATATCGTCATGGAGTTGTGCTCCGGTGGGGAGCTGTTCGACCGGATCATCAAGCGGGGGTACTTCAGGTGCGTTGCGAACGTATGGGGATGAGGAGCCAAGGGAGGGATACGGGGGGGAAGAAGCGTACGCGGGTCAAGCTGTAACGCAGCCTTTCCCAGAAAATCAGTGGTATTTTAGTTTAGTGCACTACGTGTCTGCCCTGATCCTCCTCTGCTCTCCCCTATTCCCCCCTTCCCCCCTTCCATTTCCTCCCCCACTGCACTCCCTCCGTTTCCTCCCCCTCCTCCTTCCCCTCTCCCGCCCCTCTCCTGGGTTTCCAACTCTTCCCCCACCCGCCTGCCCTTCTCTTTCCGTGTCAACAACTTCACTCCCATCAGTGAGCGGCAGGCGGCCACATCGATTCGCACGATAGCGCGGATAGTGGAGACGTGCCACTCGCTGGGCGTCGTGCACCGCGACTTAAAGCCCGAGAACTTCCTCCTCGCAGACAGGACGGAGAACGCCGACCTCAAGGCCACAGACTTTGGCCTTTCCACTTTCTTCAAACCAGGTGGGTGGGTGGCTGTGTTCCCTTGGGGTCGTGGGCTGTCATAGGGACTCGCATCTCAACCTACTCTACTCTCCAGCAAGTTTCTTTCGATCTGGCAGCCCCTACCTCGTGGGGTAGCCCCTCTCCCACTCTTTCCCCCCATGCTCACTCCCCATCCATCCATGCATCCAACCATCCCTACCCATGACTCCATGCTTGGCCGCTCCAACCATCCGTCCATCCCTCCCACATCAGGTGAGTTCCTATTGGACGTGCTGGGCACTGGGCAGCCCATACTACGTGGCACCGGAGGTGTTGAGGCGGCGGCGGCGTTACAGCAAGGCACCCCGCCTTCTCTCCCCTCTCGTCCACTCATCACATATCATATCCCTCCGTCCTCCCTCATACACTCAGGAGAATTCCTATCAGACGTGGTGGGCAGCCCATACTACGTGGCACCGGAGGTGTTGAGGCGGCGGCGGCGTTACAGCAAGGCACCCCGCCTTCTCTCCCCTCTCGTCCACTCATCACATATCATATCCCTCCGTCCTCCCTCATACACTCAGGAGAATTCCTATCAGACGTGGTGGGCAGCCCATACTACGTGGCACCGGAGGTGTTGAGGCGGCGTTACAGCAAGGAGGCGGACATATGGAGCATGGGCGTCATTCTTTACATCCTCTTGTCAGGGGTGCCGCCCTTCTGGGCTGGTAAGGGGCGGGTGGATGCATTCCTCTGGGCTGGGTAGGTCAGATGAGCGAATGACAGGAGATAGGCATGTTAACCACGTCGCTACAGCAAGGAGGCGGACATGTGGAGCATGGGCGTCATCCTGTTTGGTGGGGTCTCACAATGCATGCCAAATTGAGGATACAATTCAGGTACAATTTGTGCCACGGCATAGCATGCGTACAACACCTTCATACCTTCACACCCTCATACCTTCACACCTTCATACCTTCACACCTTCACACCTTCATACCTTCACACCCCCCCATGGCGCTGTGCCCGCTGCAGCCAGCCGAACTTGTTCCTTCACAAAATCTCATCCCTTTATTTCGTGCACCCTGCCTCCCCTCCTACCTTCCTCCCCACCTCCCCTCCTCCACACTTCTCCTCTCCTCCTCCCCTACTCCGCTCCTCCATTCCTCCCATTTCACCCCTCCCCTCGTGCAGACACCAAGCAGGGAATATTCAAGGTAGTGCTGCTGAAGGGGAACCCATTCATCGCATGTGCTGCCTTCCTGCCTTCCCGCTTCATCTCCTCTCCCACTCTTCCTTCCCTTCCCTACTCCCTTCCTCCATCCTGTGTTTCTTCCTTCCCCCCATCCTCCCCCAGCCCTGCCACTCCCCCCGTGCTCCCCCCCTGCCACTCCCCCCGTGCTCCCCCCCTGCCACTCCCCCCGTGCTCCCCCGCTGCCACTCCCCCCCACCCCACAACCAGACGCGGAGCAGGGCATATTCGAGGCGGTGCTGAGGGGTTAAAAGGACTTTCAGACCTCTCAAAGTCCAATCTCTCTCCTCTCTCTGTGCTCCCCCCACTCCCCCCCCCACCAGACACAGAGCAGGGCATATTCGAGGCAGTGCTGAGGGGCAACATCAACTTCGCTGTGCAGCCGTGGCCGTCCATCAGTGAGGACGCAAAGGACCTCATCCGCCGCATGTGCTGCCTCGACCCCGCCCGCCGCCTCACTGCCTACCAAGTGCTCTGTAAGTCTCTTGTTTCTGCTCCTCTTGCTCCTGCTGCTGCGAGTCTCCTCCTGCCGCTATGAGTCACTAGCACCATCTCCTGCTAATTCCTATCTTTCACCCACCGTCCCTTCCCCCCGCCTTCCCTTTCTCCCCGAACCTCCCTTTCAACCACCGCATTCCACTCCTCAATCCCGGCGTTCCAGGCCACCCGTGGGAAGCCCAGGGCGGAGTGGCACCGGACCTTCCTCTGGACGCCGGAGCCTTGTTTTCCCTCTCAATCCGTTCCCCTTTCTGTGCCCCTCATCTCATTCCCCTCCTCTCCCCCCCTCAGGCCACCCGTGGGAAGCCCAGGACGGAGTGGCGCCCGACCGGCCTCCCTCTGGACGCGGGCGCCACCACGCCTCTCTTGACTCGCCGCTCTCAAAACCCTCTCTTTCCCCCACCACGCCCCCACGTTCACTCCTCCCCCATCCCATCCCTCCTCTCCCTCAGGCCACCCGTGGGAAGCCCAGGAGGACGGAGTGGCGCCTGACCCGGCCCTGGGCGCCACAGGTGGCCTGCGTGCGACCGCAGGCGTGTTGTCTCACTTCTCAAAAGCCTGTCTTTCGCCGCCACGGTCCCGAGTTCACTCCTGCTCCTCCCTCCCATCTCAGGCCGCCCGTGAGTGGCTCAGGATGGAGTGGCGCCGGACCGGCCTCTGGACGCGGGTGTGTTGACTCGCCTCACAAGTATCGAATCTTCTCAGTGCCGGGCCCCTTGATAAAAGTGATGTTTTGAGACGTCTCAAAGTATCTTCTCAGTGCCGGGCCCCTCATTCCCTTCTCCTTCTCAGTGTCGGGCCCCTCATTCCCTTCTCCTTCTCAGTGTCGGGCCCCTCATTCCCTTCTCCTTCTCAGTGTCGGGCCCCTCATTCCCTTCTCCTTCTCAGTGTCGGGCCCCTCATTCCCTTCTCCTTCTCAGTGTCGGGCCCCTCATTCCCTTCTCCTTCTCAGTGTCGGGCCCCTCATTCCCTTCTCCTTCTCAGTGTCGGGCCCCTCATTCCCTTCTCCTTCTCAGTGTCGGGCCCCTCATTCCCTTCTCCTTCTCAGTGTCGGGCCCCTCATTCCCTTCTCCTTCTCAGTGTCGGGCCCCTCATTCCCTTCTCCTTCTCAGTGTCGGGCCCCTCATTCCCTTCTCCTTCTCAGTGTCGGGCCCCTCATTCCCTTCTCCTTCTCAGTGTCGGGCCCCTCATTCCCTTCTCCTTCTCAGTGTCGGGCCCCTCATTCCCTTCTCCTTCTCAGTGTCGGGCCCCTCATTCCCTTCTCCTTCTCAGTGTCGGGCCCCTCATTCCCTTCTCCTTCTCAGTGTCGGGCCCCTCATTCCCTTCTCCTTCTCAGTGTCGGGCCCCTCATTCCCTTCTCCTTCTCAGTGTCGGGCCCCTCATTCCCTTCTCCTTCTCAGTGCCGGGCCCCTCATTCCCTTCTCCTTCTCAGTGTCGGGCCCCTCATTCCCTTCTCCTTCTCAGTGTCGGGCCCCTCATTCCCTTCTCCTTCTCAGTGTCGGGCCCCTCATTCCCTTCTCCTTCTCAGTGTCGGGCCCCTCATTCCCTTCTCCTTCTCAGTGTCGGGCCCCTCATTCCCTTCTCCTTCTCAGTGTCGGGCCCCTCATTCCCTTCTCCTTCTCAGTGTCGGGCCCCTCATTCCCTTCTCCTTCTCAGTGTCGGGCCCCTCATTCCCTTCTCCTTCTCAGTGTCGGGCCCCTCATTCCCTTCTCCTTCTCAGTGTCGGGCCCCTCATTCCCTTCTCCTTCTCAGTGTCGGGCCCCTCATTCCCTTCTCCTTCTCAGTGTCGGGCCCCTCATTCCCTTCTCCTTCTCAGTGTCGGGCCCCTCATTCCCTTCTCCTTCTCAGTGTCGGGCCCCTCATTCCCTTCTCCTTCTCAGTGTCGGGCCCCTCATTCCCTTCTCCTTCTCAGTGTCGGGCCCCTCATTCCCTTCTCCTTCTCAGTGTCGGGCCCCTCATTCCCTTCTCCTTCTCAGTGTCGGGCCCCTCATTCCCTTCTCCTTCTCAGTGTCGGGCCCCTCATTCCCTTCTCCTTCTCAGTGTCGGGCCCCTCATTCCCTTCTCCTTCTCAGTGTCGGGCCCCTCATTCCCTTCTCCTTCTCAGTGTCGGGCCCCTCATTCCCTTCTCCTTCTCAGTGTCGGGCCCCTCATTCCCTTCTCCTTCTCAGTGTCGGGCCCCTCATTCCCTTCTCCTTCTCAGTGTCGGGCCCCTCATTCCCTTCTCCTTCTCAGTGTCGGGCCCCTCATTCCCTTCTCCTTCTCAGTGTCGGGCCCCTCATTCCCTTCTCCTTCTCAGTGTCGGGCCCCTCATTCCCTTCTCCTTCTCAGTGTCGGGCCCCTCATTCCCTTCTCCTTCTCAGTGTCGGGCCCCTCATTCCCTTCTCCTTCTCAGTGTCGGGCCCCTCATTCCCTTCTCCTTCTCAGTGTCGGGCCCCTCATTCCCTTCTCCTTCTCAGTGTCGGGCCCCTCATTCCCTTCTCCTTCTCAGTGTCGGGCCCCTCATTCCCTTCTCCTTCTCAGTGTCGGGCCCCTCATTCCCTTCTCCTTCTCAGTGTCGGGCCCCTCATTCCCTTCTCCTTCTCAGTGTCGGGCCCCTCATTCCCTTCTCCTTCTCAGTGTCGGGCCCCTCATTCCCTTCTCCTTCTCAGTGTCGGGCCCCTCATTCCCTTCTCCTTCTCAGTGTCGGGCCCCTCATTCCCTTCTCCTTCTCAGTGTCGGGCCCCTCATTCCCTTCTCCTTCTCAGTGTCGGGCCCCTCATTCCCTTCTCCTTCTCAGTGTCGGGCCCCTCATTCCCTTCTCCTTCTCAGTGTCGGGCCCCTCATTCCCTTCTCCTTCTCAGTGTCGGGCCCCTCATTCCCTTCTCCTTCTCAGTGTCGGGCCCCTCATTCCCTTCTCCTTCTCAGTGTCGGGCCCCTCATTCCCTTCTCCTTCTCAGTGTCGGGCCCCTCATTCCCTTCTCCTTCTCAGTGTCGGGCCCCTCATTCCCTTCTCCTTCTCAGTGTCGGGCCCCTCATTCCCTTCTCCTTCTCAGTGTCGGGCCCCTCATTCCCTTCTCCTTCTCAGTGTCGGGCCCCTCATTCCCTTCTCCTTCTCAGTGTCGGGCCCCTCATTCCCTTCTCCTTCTCAGTGTCGGGCCCCTCATTCCCTTCTCCTTCTCAGTGTCGGGCCCCTCATTCCCTTCTCCTTCTCAGTGTCGGGCCCCTCATTCCCTTCTCCTTCTCAGTGTCGGGCCCCTCATTCCCTTCTCCTTCTCAGTGTCGGGCCCCTCATTCCCTTCTCCTTCTCAGTGTCGGGCCCCTCATTCCCTTCTCCTTCTCAGTGTCGGGCCCCTCATTCCCTTCTCCTTCTCAGTGTCGGGCCCCTCATTCCCTTCTCCTTCTCAGTGCCGGGCCCCTCATTCCCTTCTCCTTCTCAGTGTCGGGCCCCTCATTCCCTTCTCCTTCTCAGTGTCGGGCCCCTCATTCCCTTCTCCTTCTCAGTGTCGGGCCCCTCATTCCCTTCTCCTTCTCAGTGTCGGGCCCCTCATTCCCTTCTCCTTCTCAGTGTCGGGCCCCTCATTCCCTTCTCCTTCTCAGTGTCGGGCCCCTCATTCCCTTCTCCTTCTCAGTGTCGGGCCCCTCATTCCCTTCTCCTTCTCAGTGTCGGGCCCCTCATTCCCTTCTCCTTCTCAGTGTCGGGCCCCTCATTCCCTTCTCCTTCTCAGTGTCGGGCCCCTCATTCCCTTCTCCTTCTCAGTGTCGGGCCCCTCATTCCCTTCTCCTTCTCAGTGTCGGGCCCCTCATTCCCTTCTCCTTCTCAGTGTCGGGCCCCTCATTCCCTTCTCCTTCTCAGTGTCGGGCCCCTCATTCCCTTCTCCTTCTCAGTGTCGGGCCCCTCATTCCCTTCTCCTTCTCAGTGTCGGGCCCCTCATTCCCTTCTCCTTCTCAGTGTCGGGCCCCTCATTCCCTTCTCCTTCTCAGTGTCGGGCCCCTCATTCCCTTCTCCTTCTCAGTGTCGGGCCCCTCATTCCCTTCTCCTTCTCAGTGTCGGGCCCCTCATTCCCTTCTCCTTCTCAGTGTCGGGCCCCTCATTCCCTTCTCCTTCTCAGTGTCGGGCCCCTCATTCCCTTCTCCTTCTCAGTGTCGGGCCCCTCATTCCCTTCTCCTTCTCAGTGTCGGGCCCCTCATTCCCTTCTCCTTCTCAGTGTCGGGCCCCTCATTCCCTTCTCCTTCTCAGTGTCGGGCCCCTCATTCCCTTCTCCTTCTCAGTGTCGGGCCCCTCATTCCCTTCTCCTTCTCAGTGTCGGGCCCCTCATTCCCTTCTCCTTCTCAGTGTCGGGCCCCTCATTCCCTTCTCCTTCTCAGTGTCGGGCCCCTCATTCCCTTCTCCTTCTCAGTGTCGGGCCCCTCATTCCCTTCTCCTTCTCAGTGTCGGGCCCCTCATTCCCTTCTCCTTCTCAGTGTCGGGCCCCTCATTCCCTTCTCCTTCTCAGTGTCGGGCCCCTCATTCCCTTCTCCTTCTCAGTGTCGGGCCCCTCATTCCCTTCTCCTTCTCAGTGTCGGGCCCCTCATTCCCTTCTCCTTCTCAGTGTCGGGCCCCTCATTCCCTTCTCCTTCTCAGTGTCGGGCCCCTCATTCCCTTCTCCTTCTCAGTGTCGGGCCCCTCATTCCCTTCTCCTTCTCAGTGTCGGGCCCCTCATTCCCTTCTCCTTCTCAGTGTCGGGCCCCTCATTCCCTTCTCCTTCTCAGTGTCGGGCCCCTCATTCCCTTCTCCTTCTCAGTGTCGGGCCCCTCATTCCCTTCTCCTTCTCAGTGTCGGGCCCCTCATTCCCTTCTCCTTCTCAGTGTCGGGCCCCTCATTCCCTTCTCCTTCTCAGTGTCGGGCCCCTCATTCCCTTCTCCTTCTCAGTGTCGGGCCCCTCATTCCCTTCTCCTTCTCAGTGTCGGGCCCCTCATTCCCTTCTCCTTCTCAGTGTCGGGCCCCTCATTCCCTTCTCCTTCTCAGTGTCGGGCCCCTCATTCCCTTCTCCTTCTCAGTGTCGGGCCCCTCATTCCCTTCTCCTTCTCAGTGTCGGGCCCCTCATTCCCTTCTCCTTTTCCCCCTCTTCAGGCCACCCGTGGGTGGCTCAGGATGGAGTGGCACCGGACCGGCCTCTGGACGCAGGCGTGTTGTCACGCCTCAAGCAATTTTCCGCCATGAACAAGCTCAAGAAGATGGCCCTGCGGGTGAGTGGGATGAGCATTGCACTTAGGGTTTTGCCTGGGCCTTAAGTTGAGGTGACTTTTGAGTCGACTCAAAAGTCATCTTTGCTCTTAGGGTTTTGCCTGGGCCTAAGTTGTGGCTTCTGAACGCAGGGGTCTTGTCTCGCCTCAAGCAATTTTCAGCAATGAGCAAGCTAAAGAAGATGGCCCTGCGGGTGAGTGACATTGTCTTTCACAGCTTCACAGTGCAAAAATGAATCCTGTCGTATTTGAAGCCTTCCATGGTCTCGCCTGGGGGGGCAGTAGTCAGCAAGTACAGGCTCAAGAAGATTGCTTCTAAGGGTGAGTAAGATTGCCGTTCATATCCTCACATTACAATGTAACGGGTAGTTGCAGTGACCACTCTCGCAGTGAGTGTGAGTGCGAGTGAGAGCAGATTTACCTATGATATGAGCAGATTTACCTATGATATGAGCTGATTTACCTATGATATGAGCTGATTTACCTATGATATGAGCAGATTTACCTATGATATGAGCTGATGTACCTATGATATGAGCTGATTTACCTATGATATGAGCAGATTTACCTATGATATGAGCAGATTTACCTATGATATGAGCAGATTTACCTATGATATGAGCAGATTTACCTATGATATGAGCAGATTTACCTATGATATGAGCAGATTTACCTATGATATGAGCTGATCACCCCCACTCCTCCTCTCACTCCATCAGCTGATCGCAGAGTCGCTATCAGAAGCAGACGTTTGAGATGATGGACACGGACAGGAGCGGCACCATCACTGTGAAGCGCCACCACACATCCTCCCCCCTCTCACATGCACATGCCCTGCCCTTCCCTACCCTCCTCAGGTGATTGCAGAGTCATTGTCTGAGGAAGAAATCTCGGGGCTGAAGCAGACGTTTGAGATGATGGACACGGACAGGAGCGGCACCATCACGTTTGAGGAGCTCAAGGCGGGGCTGCATCGCATTGGGGCCAACATGAAGGACTGCGAGGTGCAGGAGCTCATGGACGCGGTGAGTCAGGGAATCAGAGGCGGGCCATGGGGGACAGATGGGGTGGGATTGGGGCATGGGCGGTGCAACCACGTTGGGTCTGCAGCGCAACGGGGCCAACATGAAATGAAGGACAGCGAGGTGCAATAGCTAATGGACGCGGTGAGTGAGAGGGGATAATAGAGTGGGGACAGGGGAGAATCAGGGAACTGGGGCATGGGCATGTGCAGCCACGTGGGTCTGCAGTGCATCGGAGCCAACATGAAGGACAGCGAGGTGCAGAGAATATATTTGACAACTCGAGCATGAGAAGAGTCAAGAGATTTCTCCATCCAATTGCTTCTCTTGCGTTGCTCCCTTTCGCTCCCTGTCAACAGGCTGACTTTGACGGCAACGGGATGATCGACTATGGAGAGTTTTTAGCTGCCACGATGCATTTGAACAAGATTGAGCGCGAGGAGACGCTGTTTGCGGCGTTCTCGCACTTTGACAAGGACAGCTCGGGATTCATTACAGTGGATGAGCTGCAGCATGCTTGTAGGGAGTACAGCATCGACGAGGACTGCATTGTTGAAACAATGCGCGATGTCGACACTAACAATGTAAGCATTGACCTTGTAAGCACTGATGATAGTTTGAAGGTGTCCCAAAGCATGCTTGTAGGGAGTACAGCATCGACGAGGACTGCATTGTTGAGACGATGCGCAAAGTCGACGCTAACAATGTTAGCACTATCTTTGGAAGCATTATGTACCTTTCTATGAAGTAACATCGGAAGCAGTAACAATGTATGCACCAACACATGTTGCACTAACGTCATAAGCACTAATTAACGGTAAGGTTCTGCTTATATTTCTGCTTTCTTGTGCCTGCATCCTTCGCCTGTATCTTCTGAAACAGGATGGGCAGATTGACTACAACGAATTTGTGACAATGATGAGGGCTGGGAATGGAGGCATTGGTCGGAAGAGCCTGGGCGGCAGCTGGACGAGTGGGAAGCTACTGAGAGACTTGGTGGAAGCTGCACGGCAGCAGCAACAACAGCAGCAGCAACAACCAGAACCCATGGTGTCTTAGCCTTTGACTGTTGACCCATGAGCCATATGGTCATGACTCATGAGTCATGACAAATACTGTTGCTGGCCGCTGTAGTGACTGCTGGGTGTTGGGATGAGATGACGGCACCCTGTTGTAGCATATTGCCACGAGCTTATGCATGGAACTAGGTATCTGACGTGCGTGATAGCAACGCTAGCGTGCTCGAGTGAGTGTTTGTCCTTAACCCTGTCATACATGACTCTTGCATCTCAGTAAGCAATACTTACACAAGCAGTTAGTTGAAACGGTCTCTGACATTCTACACACGGACGCGCTGTCCTAGTCCTAATCCAGTTTTCTAACATGGAAGTGCATTATACACTCCAGAAACACCACTCTTGTAACTGCAAGAACAAGCACAGGTACAAGTGTATGCAATGCAGAAAAATATACCACATTTTGCAACCAATCAGAGTGCTGGTCAACAGAATTCACGTGATACTCGGATCCAAACCGCGTTATCCGTCAACGACGCTCCGCGTTCACACGACCCTGCAGCGACACTGTAGTCAACCCTCGCTGCTCGCTGCTCGCTGCTCGCTGCTCGTGTGGCTGGAAAACCTCGTCCCGCCCCGTTTACCACTCCCGCCCGACTCTCGACCCGACTGTGGGGATGCATCGCGGTTTGCTAGAGTAGGGCGGGAAGGGAACAGCTCGCCCGCGTTTCCTTCAATGCTCACGCGTTTGCTGTTTCAGAGTTGACCTTCAAGTTGACGAAAGGTGAGTCCGACGGGGAGTGCAATATCCGCCGCACAGCACAGTTCATTGTTTGCGACATGTGGCGAAGAAAAAGGGAGTGGAAATTCCGACAGTGCGCGAAAGCGCAAAGATATCTTCAACAGTGTACTGTACATATCGGCGAAACCGCGAGGAGAATCGCCAAGCACGCATAGTGAGGGAACAAGTGAAATGTCCCAGATCATCTGTACTGTGTGCGAAAATGGCGAAACGACACACGAGATTTACGCAGCATCTGATTCAACGAAAGGACACACCACGTTTCTACAGTCGCGAAGGAATCGGCGATTTTCGCAATCGATGCCTTTTCAGCCCTTAGCTGCATGATCCAGTCAGACTGTCAGAGCTAGTGCAAGCTCAGACCGCGTATGCGTGTAACAAAATCCACACACACTTTCGGCTGTTGAAATTTACGCACAGCAGCGCTTGCACGCGGTTGCTCTTATTCTTGTTAGTACTGTAGCTGCCCACCATCAATAGTCGGCCCGGTCAAAGATCCGCAAGCCGCTATCTCGCATGTTTTTGCTCTGCTCTCCGTTGCTTGCCTAGCTGATTGGCAGCAAGCTGCTAAGGGCCTCGCCTTCTGCTTTCTGTACTACATTACGCCGGAGTGAAGTTTCTTTATCATTCTGAAGTCCCAGCCTGCATTCCTCACCTGTGCAAGTGATACCTACAAATTAGCAGTAGTTGTGCGACACTCGCACGAAAAAGCGCCCGCTATGTCACAATCATCCTGCAGCTGCCACATGGCTCCGCAATTCACGGCGCCGCAGCAGTCGCACGAAGCCCCTTCGCTCCGACTCCCACCAGCCAAAAGGCTGCGACTGTTCGGGCAGCAGATCCAAACGTCGCCAGTTGTCGCTCAACCTGCCAGCGACTGTTCGCCGTGCGATATTGCTAGGTCGGCGCTCACGTCGCCCACGTCACAGACACTTTCGGGATCGAGCAGCTCGTCCTCCACAGAACGGTTACCACCCCCGCTTTTCCCGCTTTTCGACCCGTCGATGCCAGACCCAACGACAGAGGCTCGTTACTGCACTTCCGATCCTTGCCACGTGTCGTCATCCACGCCGTCGCTTTCGGATCTCGGCGACGACATCCTTCGTCAGATTCTCCAGGCGATGAGGCCGACGGCGTGGGATCTCAGCCGGCTTGCTTGCGTCAGCGTGACGTGGAAGAACCTCTGCTACAGCCGGCAATTCTGGACGAAGCTTCGCATCGGCTCCGGTGCCATGCACCCCGGTATGGCAAAGCTCGCGCCGCGTTGCAGGAGCCTCACGGACCTCTTCATTGACGACCCGCGGTGCGAGCTCCACGTACTTAATCCCATAATCGTCGCGTGCGCCTCGTCGCTGCGCCGCGTCGTCCTAGACTGCGACTCGATCGCCGCGGCGGCGGTAGCCGCGGCTCCGGGACCCGCCGCCGCCGCCGCAGCCGCCGCCGGGAACGGCGCCCCTCGCGGGAACGCGGAATCGTCGATCTGCAACCTCCTATGGCTCATCTCGCTCCACTGCCGCAACGTCTCGAAAATAGAGCTTCTCTCCTCGCGCGCTTCCGCGGCAGCCGCAGCGGCAGATTCCGCGAGAACCGGTGCAGGAAACGGTGTGGGCAACGGCGCAACCAACGGCGCAGCGAACGGCGCGAGCACGAGCTCCGCGTTCGCGATCCTGCTGGAGTCGCGACTAATGTGGTTTCTCACGACCGCGTTCCGCGGGATCCGGCACTTCTCGTGCGTGCTCCCGAACAGCATGACGACGCAGACGACGTGCCTGATGGCGATCGCATGGCGTCGCCTGTCGTCGCTGCGACTCCACTGCGGCGCGCTCCAGTTCGCCGACCTCCTGGCGCTGCGGAAATGCGGCGGACTCAAGAGCCTCGAGCTTGTGGGCGGCAAACTGGAGGATACGTCCAAAACGGCTGATGCCTCGCTTGGTTTTGGTTCGCAGGGGCAGCCGGAGGAAGGGGAGAGATTGGCTAGTCTGGAGGTGCTTGTATTGAACGGGTGTGACTATGACCCTGTGACTGTGGCCAATCTTGCCTGGCACGCGCCGAAGCTGCAGCGGATTGTAGTGAAGGGTGAGAGTCGAGACATCAGTGCGGCAAAGAGCAGTTTTGTCACGGGGAGCAGCAGCGTATTATTTAGCCGAAACAACAGCAGCGGAAGCAGCAGCAGTCATGAGTCTTCAACGGTGGGGGAGAGCATAGCAGTTGATGCTCTTCCTTCAGGCAGAGACACAGCCAGCCTCCAAGTCACTCCGATCCTCTCTCCCTCGCATGCACGTGCCATGGTTGCAGCGTCGATTACGGTGAGGGCAGGCAATCAGACAGCAGGAGATTTAGAATGGCTGGCTGGGATTGTTGAGGCATTGACTCGCCAAAATCGCACGGGAGCAATGCCAGTACCTGGCAGTAATGGGACAAACCTCTTGTCTGCTGATCCGTTTGCTCGACTTAGATCGAGCCTTTCCGAGGTGGGAAGGGGCCATGTGAGAGTTGGTTCACCCCAAATAGCAGCTTCCATGAAGTAGATCATGATTTGTAGCTCCAAACAACTTAGTGAAAGGTTCATCGCTTGGTTTGTAGCTGGCATGTAACTCCATGTAGAGCTAATAAGGATTCTAAGATTATTGATCCCTCAGGCTATCCCAATGAACTAACTGTCTCATACTGGAGCGCGATACGGTACATGTTCCTAGGTTTCTCAAGCAGGAGAAACTGCTACTAGTTCCAGCCCTATCTGTCAGAATATTATGCTCTAGCCTGTAGTGGGGTGCTCTATAGCGAGTACAACCCTTCTAGGGTTTGCTATTTGTATCCCCATTCTTTCTAGTGCAACCCCTCTCCTTCTTTCACCTAAACTATCGTTTGCCTAGCTAGGGCTTTCCTAGCTTAGGCTCCTAAGACTACCTCCTGTTCTCACATGTTATCAGAGCTACATGCTCCTGGCCTGTGGGCCCCACTTCACTGCTTCCGCTGCTACTGCTACTCCCTGTCCGCCGCGCGCCCCGTGGTGCGCGGCGTTGACTTAGGGTTTTCAGCCCGCCGTGCGCCCCGAGGCGCGCGGCGGTTCTCTGCCCGCCGTGCGCCCCGAGGCGCGCGGCGGGTTTCTGCCCCGTCACTCGGCGCGTCGCCCCCGGGAGGCGCTGCGACGGGCGACGGGGACCCGCGCGTCGCCCCCCGTCGCCCGTCGTGGCCTGCGCGCGGCCCGTACAGCCGGCGTGCGGCCCGTACGGGCTGCGCCAGGCCTGCGCGCGGCCCGTACGGGAAGCGCCAGGCCCGCGCGCGGCTCGGGCCGCCTGCGCGCGGTTCGGGCGGCTATGCCAGGCCCGTGGGCGGCCCGTTCCTCGCTGCCCCTGCCCTCCCCACTGTCCCCCGTGCTTCTACTGGCGCCCCACCCCTCCTACAGCCCGTTCTCCTGAATTAGGGTTTGGGGGTGAGGGGTATGGGGGTGAAGCCACTGAGTGCCGTTCCCTGTTCCTCCTCCTCCTCCGTCTCCCTGTGCTGCAGCTGCCGCTGAGGGGGGGTGGACTTGTTGGAGCCGTTGGAGTGGTACTAAGGGGGGGTGAAGGGGGAGTGGAGCTAGCGGTGTAGCAGCGGGTGTGTGTCAGGGGGAGTGGGATAGTTTGGGGAGGTTGAAGGGGGTGGCCGCCGTGAAGCCAGCAGCTCCAGTCGCCCGTGAGACCGTTGCGCCAGTCGCCGGTGAGCACGTTGCGCCAGTCGCCCGTGAGCCCGTTGCTCCAGTCGCCCGTGAGTCCGTTGCTCGTCTGCCGCTACTTTTAGCCGCGGAGCCAGTTACTCCAGTAGCCCGTGTGCCAGTTGCTCCAGTTGCCAGTGTGCCAGTTGCTCCAGTTGCCCGTGTGCCAGTTGCTCCAGTTGCGCCGTGTGCCAGCAGCTTCAGCTGCCGCCCACTACCTCCTCTCCTCTCATAGTCTCTTTCCTCCTCCTCACTTGCCCGTTGTGACTACCACTAGCTTTGCTCATAATTGTGAACTTTAAACTATTGCTTCTTGAACTTGTGCTCAGAATGTGTGGTGACATTGTGATCCACCCTGGGCTTGTACTGCTTTGCTTGCTCTGCTGATTACACCCCACTTTGTGTTAGAATCTGACAGCAGGAATGAATGCATTGATCAAGAGTTGGGTACATAAGCTAACCCTAACATTGGGTTGTACCCCATATGGGCTACCCCACTAGCAGCCTACACAAACACAATATGCATAGTTTGACACACCCCCATAGGCAAAGTGGGGGAGAACAAGGGGTCACAAGACCAGTCAAGAGAAACAAAACAAGCTCAGGGTGGATCACAACGTCACCACACACACCGAGCACAAGCAAAGGGCCACAAGGCCTGTCCACATGCAGAGGTATATATGCAACAAACAAAGTACAGTGATCACTACCTAGCAAGAGCAAGCATGCAGGTATATATATATATATAAAGATCACAGTACAGGCAGAGTCTACAGCAAGTGTGGAAACGTAGGCACAAGGCCCAACAAGGTACAAAAGCGCTGATGATCACCAGACGGAAGTGCCTTGGTGAATATATCAGCAGTGTTGGCCCGAGTGGCCACGTGTGCAAGACGAAACTGACCACGCTGCTGCAACTCTCGAGCCAGGAAGTAACGCAGAGCGATGTGCTTCGTTCTGTGCTCCAGTCTGTGCTCCTCACACAAGGCAATGGCTGCCTTGTTGTCAACGTACAGAACTGGAGGAGAACGAGGCCGCTCTCCCAGGTCGGTCAGCAGGTAGGTGAGCCAGCGCAGCTCCTGAGCAGCCATGGCGGTGGCGTAGATCTCAGCCTCACAACTGGAGCTGAGAACAGAAGACGAGCGAGTAGAACGCCACGAAACAGAACCAGAGCCGAGGCTGAAAGTGTAACCCTGTGACGACCGCTGTGTAGCCTGGTCGTCAACCCAAGACGCGTCTGAGTGCCCAGTGAGGACCACCTCTCGCCGTCCTCCAAGCACGAGCCCCATGCCCGATGTACTGCACAAGTAGCGCAGTACCCTCTTCGCAGCATCCCAGTGCACCTTTCGACCAGGAGCCACGTAGCGGGCCAAAAGGCCAAGAGGGTACGCAAGGTCAGGACGAGTGCAAGTCATCAGGTACATGAGGCAGCCTACTAGCTCTGGGTAAGGACCACTCGGCTCTACGGACTCGTCCGAAGGTGGAGCTGAGAGCGAGTGACCTGTAGCCAGAGGAGTGGACTGTGCCGAGGACCAGGTGAAGCCGAAGCGCTGAAGGACCTGCTACACCATGTGTGACTGAGTCAGTGTGATGGTGCGCCGTGCTCTGTCCCGGGTGATCTGCAAGCCAAGGTAGCTGCGCAGCTCACCCAGATCTGTGCACGTGTGTCTCTTCTGCAGCTCGGACTTCACCAGGGCGAGAGCCTCAGTGTCAGCAGTGGCAAAGACCAAGTCGTCAACGTACACGAGGATGTAGAACGGCGGCAGCGAAGTGTCGGTGCGCAGAAACAGTGACGGGTCAGCTGTGGAGGGCGCAAACCCGAGAGCCGCAAGCGTAGTCCTCAGTGTGTCGTGCCACTCACGAGGCGCCTGACGGAGACCGTAGACTGGCCGGCGGAGGCTCCACTGGGTACCAGGAGGGAACGACCCAGTGAAGCCAGGTGGGCGGCGCAGCCAGATCTCCTCGTGCAGGCTGCCCTGCAAGAAAGCTGTGCTGAAGTCAAGCGAGTGAAGCTCGTAGTCACGCTGGGCGGCAACGTGCAGCAGTACCCGAAGAGTGGTCATCTTCGGGGTGGGGGAGAAGGTCTGGAAGAAGTCAACCCCCTCTCGCTGACTGAAGCCTCGAGCAACGTAACGTGCCTTGAAGACAGGCGGAGAACCAGGCGGCCGCTTCACCCTGAAAATCCACATGCCACTGACGATGTTCGCCCCAGGAGGGGGAACCTCGTCGACGTAAGTGCCTGTGGACTTCCAGGATGCCATCTCTGCGTCCATGGCTGCCTGCCACTGAGAGGAGTAGGGACCCGCGACCGCCTCAGCGTACGAGCGCGGGGTGGGGATGTCTAGTGCATCCGGGTCTCCCTCAGGGGCAAGCAGCATGGTCACGAGATGAGGCGCAGCGGCTGCAAGACACTCAAGGTCCTCGTGCCTGTCCTCAAGGACGTCCGTGCCTAGAGCACACTCACCCCCGACGGACAGAGGACAGACAGACTCAGACTCAGCGACAAGACTAGCAGCGTAGTCTAGACGACAGGCAGCCGCAAAGTCAACAAGCTCGGCAACCAAAGCTGTCGCAGCAGCAGACTCAAACGAGGGGTCAGTGACAACAGTGGCGAGCAGACGCGTGACAGTAGGGTGCTCAGCACGAAACCGGTCAGACTCAGGGTCCGGAACGTGAGGCAAGGAAGACGCAGGAGGAGACGGCAGAGAAACAGACTGCGGAACAGAGGAAGGACGACGGACGACAAGGTGTGCGGTGGGGACAGGCGGCGAACGCGGACGCGGAACACGACGACCGGTACGACTAGGACGAACAGGCGAGACAGGACGCGACGCAGGCTCACGACGCTCAGCAAGACTACCCGTCTGCTCAGTGTAAGGAGAAGGAGCAGGCAGCGGTGAGCCAGGCTGTAACGGAAGACCAGTAGACGACGGGAGAGTAAGAACCTGACGAAGAACAGAGTCAGGCGGCGGCAGAGACGACGGAGACGGCGGAGCGAAGAACAGTCGTGGCGGCGCAGCTGCACCAGAACCGGCAGCTCCAGCAGCTCCAGTACCCCCAGCAGCTCCAGCACCTCCAGCAGCTCCAGAAGCTCCAGCAGCAGAACCGACACCTCCAGGCCCAGGGTCTCCAACCCCAGTGCCTCCAGCAGCAGCACCCCCAGAACCAGTACCTCCAGTCCCAGGGTCTCCAGCCTCCACGTCTCCAGCAGCAGCACCCCCAGAACCAGCACCTCCAGTCCCAGGGTCTCCAGCCTCCACGTCTCCAGCAGCAGCACCCCCAGAACCAGCACCTCCAGTCCCAAGGTCTCCAGCCTCGGTGTCTCCAGCAGCAGCACCTCCAGACGCAGCACCCCCAGCCCCAGCAGCTCCAGTACCTCCAGTACGAGCACCTCCGGGACCAGCGACTCCAGCACCTCCAGTAGAAACAGTACCAGCACCACTCCTAGCGCCAGGGACGGCAGCAGAAGTACCTCCAGCAGTAGAGCCCCGGGCTCCAGCAGCGCGACCCTGACGGCGACCGTACCAGTCGTGCAGCTGCTGCGAGGTGAGTGGCACACGTGGACGAAGGCGGCTACTCCAAGGAGACCGCGCAACAGCAGACTCTGAACCCTCAGCGCCAGCACCCTCAGCAGCTCCAGCGCCACCAGCACCAGGACCTCCAGCAGCTCCAGAACCTCCAGCGCTAGCACCCTCAGCAGCCCCAGAACCACCAGCTCCAGCACCTCCAGACCCCTCACACTCAGGCTCAGCACCTCCAGGCTCGACACCCTCAAGCTCCGCACCCCCAGGCTCCACACCCCCAGGCTCAGCACCCCCAGACTCAGCACCCCCA